CAGCGTGCTGCTACATTGAAAACATTTGATTCGAGTTGCGTCTTCTGATTGGTTCTCTAAATATAGTGGCTTTTGCCAACAAACTGTTATTTCTGAAAGCGCTGACGCTGGAATTTGGAAGATTTGAAGCAAATCTGTTTGTTGATGGTGTACTACGTGCCTAAAGCATTTACTCAGTGTCAGTAGCTCATTTTTGGCGGAAGTGGCGCTTAGCGGCTTTTGCATCTGAACTCTTCATATGCTGGGGGAATTAAGAAAGATGCTTCAAAAGGTCCTTGAATCTGCTGTTCATGAAAGAATGGGAACCTTGAATACCGTTTTGTCAAGTTGTGTTTCAGGTTAAAATACAAGATGTTTTTTTATAATATGAGTGCCTGAAATTGCTGTGTAAGCATCTGTGTTTCCGTTCATTCTTCAAAAAAAGGAAGTTATGCAGGGCATAGGGAAAGTGTCAAAGGTTCAGGAATGCTCTCTCACTGGAACCTGGAACATATCGGACCTCCAGAGGTGGAACTGGAAAACGGATGAAACCATGCAAAAAACAGGTTATATTTCTAAAATCACACTTCTGTTGAGGGGATGGTTCACACAGAAATAAACACTCAGTTTTTAATGACTCACCAATATCTCATTCCAATCCCCTGAGACCTTTGTTTGTCTTCAGAAAACAAATTAAGATATTTTAGGTGAAAATAGAGCTCCCTTATCCTCCATAGACCGCATCAAAAAACATCCTCAAAGCAGACCATATGTCTTCAATGGTTCAATCGGAATGTTATGAAGCTACGAGAATACTTTTTTTTTTTGCACATAAAACAAAATATTGACTTTATTTAAGTTTCTTGTCATCATTGTCAGTGTAGGGTGCATGTTCATGAGCTCTGTGCATTGATGTATACTCTGATTCCCGCATGACTTCCTCTGTTCGAAACAAATACAGTCAACACCATCATGAACACTGACAGACAGATGGAGAAACTGTTAATTAAAATAGATATTTGGGTTTATGTGCACACAAAAGTATTCCCCTAGCTTGATAATATTCCAGTTAAACAATATAATCTGCTTTGAAAATACCTTTCTGGACTTTGAACAAGTCACAAACCTTGGATGGAGAGTGAGGGAGTTCTCAGATTTCATCAATAACTTAATTTGCATATTATGAACTCATCTTAAGTTTATAAAGTTGAGCAGTTAATAACATCATTTTCAATTCTGGGTGAACTAACCCTTTAAGATCAAACATTTTGATGATAAATCTGGTAAGAAATTTCTGGTAAAGAAAGAAAAAGTGTCATTGTGTTTGTTTTTGCTCTTTTTACAGATAAAAGTGGTTTTAGTGGTGTTACCCAAGACTTCAATGTGACCATTTCCCCAAAAGAAATCAGAACCTTCTTCATCTACTTTTAGTAAACAGTCTGGCAGCAGCCAGTAGTTATCTTCTGTGAAGATTAATTTCTGAAAAAAAATCCAGAATTGTCCCAAAATTGATCACCTAAGCATCTATTCTTAACATTTTACAAAACTCTCCTGTAAACATTTAAATAAAATATAAAAAAAATAAATATTTACTCATTTTCTTTCTTTTGTACATTGCTAAAAACTGTGTTTGTTTCTGTCAATTTTATTTGGTTTGATCTTCAGGCAAATAACATGTTTTAAGATTGCAAATAATGAAGAACTGGATATAACAAAAGTTCAGTACAGGAAATTGACATGCCACAAGCCTCAAGCATCATAGTTTCTGAAAAGGAGTTAAGAGGGAATGTTCAGCCAGCTAGCTTGAAGCCAGTGGTGCTGTCGGTAAGAACTGTCTAGTACAGACTAGTCACTCTATTTAGCTGCATTTATTAACCTTCAACAAGGATTTGTGCTCAGGAGGAAAGGTGTTTATGTTGTTTCTTTTTATGTGTGTGGTTTATGGTCCGATACACGCACACAGGAAAACAAGAAATCAGATTCAGGCCTCTACACAGTTCAGCCATGTGCAGCCAGATAGTGCAACTGTGGACACAGGTGCCTTTAATAAAGCCTTTGAGGCAGTCCTGATTGGCCAGAGATTGAGTGGGTGGAGATTGGAGTAAACCATACACTGAACAGGGGTGTGCCACTACTTTGAGTTTGCAGTTTAGGAAGACAAAACTTTTCAACAGTTTCCTTGTTCTCATGTAATTCATGTAAGTGCAAAATGCCAGTCAATAAGAGGAATAAAACACAGGCTGTGACGATTCACTCTGGATCACTAATACACACACCTTAGACAGCGTTTTGATTGGCCACAATATTTTCTAATGAGATTACAACAATTATAATTTTTCAAATATTTCTAAGTTTATCTAAGCTTGTTTTCTAATTATGTATGTTGGACTCTTATTTAAAATTATAGGCGATTATAGAGCTCTCAGGTTATGCAATTTTGGTATAGACTAGAGCACAGGTGTCAAACTCAGTTCCAAAAAGGCTGCAGCTCTGCACAGTTTAGTTCCAACCCTAATTAAACACACCTGATCAAACTAATTGAGTCCTTCAGGCTTGTTTGAAACCTACAGGTAAGTGTGTTGGAACAGGGTTGGAACTAAACTGTGCAGGGCTTCGGCCCTCCAGGAATTGAGTTTGACAACCCTGGACTAGAGCATCACAGCACAGCTCCTTGTCAGAATGCAAAAACTGGAAAAATGGATTATACACTTGGGCACACAATAAAGGGGCATTAGCTCTGTTTATCAGAATCTTTTGTTAGTTTAACATGGATATTGTGAAATTGGTCAAATACAGTATGTTTGTAATGAGGCAACAGATATATATGTAGGCTGCTGAATACAATAAGTGTTTTATGCACATTTATGTATCCAGTAATTTCGCCCAGCTCTTATTATGATTTTTCTGGAATGAAAAAATCTGTTTATATAGAGCAGTGGTTCTCAAACTGTGGTACATGTAACACATGTGGTACACAAGCTTCCTTCTAGTGGTACGCGGAGAAACCGCTGAATAATTCAAGTAAAACAATGAACACACTTTTAACCCTTTGATGCGTACGATAACAACCATGTGATCAGGAAATTGATTTTAATGGGCTAAACATTTTATTTTCATTTTTCCAATGTTTGTTATGTATTCTATCATTTGAGCTTATTTTCCTCCCCGTACTTGTAGTGGTTGTTGGGGGTTTATCTCGTATTTTTATATCCCAATGTTGACAGGTATAGTTTAATCACCTGCTTCTCTGACACACATTGCCTACTCTAACCAGCAGTGAGCAGATCTAATTTCGAATTTAAATATGTAAATCCATTTCATATATTTAAAATACAAGTTAACGTTGAGATTTTAAAGATATACAAAAAGTCATATATACATTCAACATATTGTAGAAAATATAATTCATTTCTCAGAGTTATCCTTGATTCTCTGTTAGTATGTTGTGTATGTTTTGCCTAAAGAGATGTTAAATCATTTACCTTACAGTCATTCTTTACCATATATATTTTTAGATTCTATACTATATTTTGTATGCTCTGTGAAACTATATGCTAACCGAAACTCGCCTTTGTGATGTATTTTGCATACTAATGAGGCATTTTGCAGAAAGAGCTATCTTGGACAGGAACTATGCAGCAGAAACAATAAAAATAACATGCCTCTGATTTCCTGTGAAAACATACTGGAGCCTATGTAGGTCTCTAAGAATGTGCATTTAACTGGTCCAGTTCTTCCGTGCAGAAAAGCTGACAGAGAGACAGAAACAACCCGCCTTCTCCTTCTTCTGTGGAAAAAAAACTGTGTCTTTAGTGCTGAGTACACTGGTGTGTTCTCTTGGATAGCATTGTATAAATAATAGGACACATTTGTGCGACCCAGGGCCCTAATCGAATTATTCATTTGTTCTTAATAAATTACTAATATTTTTTTTAATTGATCTCCGCCTCCTGAGTTTGTGTTGAACACGCATGGAATTGATTATAAATTCCAACAATATATTTTAACATTTATCAGAGTTATATATAAATATTATGACATACGGTATAACCTATATTTATGAATTCCTTGAACATTTGCAGGTTTTCATGAATAGGCTACTTTATCATAATACTTTACATTTAAGTACAGCAGTTTTCTTTTAACTTTTTAAGAACCGTGCCATTTTTAATAACTTTTAAAATCACATTTTAATCTAAACGTTGATGTCTTATTTATTTATTTATTTATTTTTTTACCTGTGTGTAATTGTTCAATCTATTTATTATGTTTAAAGTGGCTAACAAATAATAAATATTCATAATAATAAGAATTAATCTGCCATGTTTGTGAACTGTGCAGAGCTGTAGCTGCTTAGTCATTATGGTGGTACTTGGAGAGACCATTTTTTCTGAGGTGGTACTTGGTGAAAAAAGTTTGAGAACCACTGATATAGAGGTTGATATAAAATAAGCTTGATAGATTTTGACAACTAGTTCAAAATTTTTGTATGTAATGACTCAAGTAATGAAATGAGGACTATTAGTTTTCTATGGAATGACTATTCAGCATTCACAAGTTTAGACTGACATAAGGAAATGATAATGTTATAAAACAGCAGAGAGTTGTATGAAAGCAATTGATGCACGTCCAAAAGCATTTGCAGTTTGTTGGAAAGAATGAGAAACTGCTACTATGATGTGCGCAATTAATTGTTAATGAATCTAATTGTTTTGAGAAATGCATTAACTGTTGTGCAAATGTAAATAGTGTTGTGAGAAATTCACACACTCTTTCTAGCTGAAGTAAACCTCTCTATAACCTTTGCATCAAAGCATCAAATCAATATGTTAAAATATTTTTTGACAACTGAAAGATGAATTTGGTGCCCGTCCACCACTTCAATAGATGTTAAAATCTGACCATACATATATTTTAAATGAGACCTTGGGTGTCTCGAACATGCACACAGATCTGACTAACTATACAAACTCTTTGCAAGACCTGAAGCTGGCTTCTCCTGATGAAACGGCAAACTTTTATTTCAGTAAAAATTTCTTTAATATATTTATTGTACACAACTGGTCAAAAGTTTTCAAACAGTGAGCTTCATATTTGTAACATATTAAAGGACACCAATGATGCAGAATCAATCTTTGTAGGACAAATTCAGTGTTGCCGGATATAGCAGACTTTACCAGCCTAAAAGCTGTCCAAAATCTGCCCAAACACACAAACCCCACCCCCCTCCACCCCCCAAAAATATTAGATTCATATTTTTATTTAATTTTAATTGAATTTAATCTAAATTAATCAAGTTACTTTAACTGTCATCATTTTAGTCATACAGCAACACCTTTACTTTCGAAATGGGGTATACATTTATCGTATTTGGCGTTTTAAATTCTTTTGATCATAATTAGTTGCTGCTTGTCAATCAGACAACGCATCTATGTGTGTCTTGCTGTTAATTGCAGAATAAATGATCGATAAGTATCATGATAAACTGATGTGAGTTTAACTGCAGGCGCTGGGTGATGAGCGTGCAGGTGAAGGGGAGTCGGATTTGTCCGGGAGTCAGATTTTGATAGAACTTGTCTCCACCTCCTCTTGTGGGTGGGCCCATGCGGTTTGTGCTATGCACTGGTCACTACTAACTGAATGCAGTAGGAGCACACAGTTATGTTTCGTTATATAAGTTGCATATAAAATTTACGTTTCAAAACCGCCCAAATTTTGTCAACCCGCCAAGTCATTTTTTACCCGCAAAATCAAATTCAAAACCACCCTATCTGGCAACACTGTAGGTATAGTGTGTCCACAGTCATTTTGAAGTGAAATTACCACAAGTGCCTTTTTAAAAAATTCCTGATAGGATCCAAACCCTAGAGATTTTGAGGCCCACTACAACATGACGTAGGAGTCCACTTTTCCCTTCCCACCAAATCGATTGATAGAATCCTATTAACATGTCTTCATAGAGACGCATATAAACATGTCCACAGAACAGGATTTGCAAAAAAAAAGCTGATTAAAAGATCTGCTCCAACTCTCTACAATCATCTGCACCTCAAGAATGAGTTTTACAAGCTTAAAGTGTATTTAAAAAGGGCATGTTTACTATAAAAATATAATAAAATTCAGTTTTCTGTAAAACCATAAAGGAAATTGAGGGATTGTGATGTCAAAGCACAGAGATCATGTCACTAGTTAAAATAGATTATTTTTTCTGGATTAGACCATTCTTCGAAACATTTAAGATCATGTAAGTAAGTCAATTACATATTGTGCCTTTAATTCAAAATCTTTGGTACAATTCAGAGGGAATCCTCCTCTGGCCAGGCTACTAAATTGTAACACTAAATCAAATGTTAACAATTTTTAAGTAAACTAACATATTAGGACTGTATTAAGATAGCTACATTTAAAAAAAGGGTACAAAAACATGTATTGGTATGTTTTGTCCTGTAACACTGTTTAAGATACATACTGGTAATACATGACTTGTGTTAGTGATATATTTGACTGTGGTATAAAGTATTACTGTAAGTGTATAATATACACACTCTCGCATTCATTCGGAAGCTGCAGGTGGCGTCATAACAATAACAGGCTGAAAAAGACAACGAAGAGCACCATGTTAATATTATGCGCATCATTAATGCTGCTTTTAAGCATCTCCAGATTTATGGAATGAGCTTTTCTTACCACGTTAGACCTGGGAGAGCAGCATGGAATCACCTTGCAGCAGTATGCGGCTAATGTAATAGCCAGAATAATCTGAACCGTCTCCAAAAGCTCGTCTAACAAAATCAGTTGATTGAACAGCTTCTGTGAGTAGAGAACAAAATTAAATAGCAATAGAAAACATCACTTGGGAAACATTTAAAAAAAGAATTCAAATTTCCGAGACGGGCTAATAATTTTGTCTTCAACTGTACATGAAGAATGCGGTGAACTGCACACAATGCCAAAAAAACCTCTTTAAAGTGGTTGACTTACCTCGGTATGTGAAAATGTAATTCTTTTAAAAATATTTCTCAAATATTTTAACATAACATTCTTCACACTATTGCCTTTTTTCTGGAGAAAGTACTTCTTTTTATTTGACTGGAATAAAAAAAAAAGATTGACCACAGAACAAACCAATGTTATCGAACAACTCGCCTTATTAACCTAATTAAGCATTTAAATGACACTTTAAGCTGAATACCGGCGTCTTAAAAACAACAAAAACTATTATTTACAGTCATCATGGCAAACGCAAAAGAATTTAGTTTATTAGGAATGAGCTATTAAAACTATTATGTTTAAACATGTTTTGGAAAATAAATCTCTTCATTAAACTTGACTAGGGAAACATTTAAAAAAAGAATTCAAATTTCCGAGACAGGCTAATAACTTTGTCTTCAACTGTACATGAAGAATGCGGTGAACTGTACATAATGCCAAAAAAAACCTATTTAAAGTGGTTGACTTACCTCAGTATGTAAACATGTGCTGTTGCTTGGTATTTGTTCATAGTAATTTTCATGGTAATTCCAGCAGCCACCAGGGTGGAAATGTTGCTCACTTAATGTGATTACTACACAGACAAAATATGCCACAGATGTGACGACTTGCATTCCCAAACAAGCCTTAAGCTGTTAAGAAATAAAATGACAGCGATCCAGAAATGCTTATTAATTAGGTGCATTTTCAATTTAGGCATACTATGATAAAATAATGATGTGTTTTTGGAAATTTCTTTGTTTTTGCAGTGCGTCCAGACATACTGTTGGTAGGTGGAGATTCTGAGCTGCTATCGCCACACTGCCAGAAATTATGCCCTGTTTAAGACAAAAGGTGTTACATATCCTTTTCAAAATTGGTCTCAGAGGATGTCTGAAATTGCAGTGTGAGCCAGGCCTATTATTACTGGAGATTCAGAGACTATCTAAAACTTGATTAAAATGCCAAAATATATTATGAAAAAACGCATGACAGTTCTTGGCTCCGGAAACATTACATAAGTCACCATTTAACAAGCTGATTCTATGCAATAACGTTACTACAAGCTGGAGATTTTCCAACATGTCATGTTTTGTGGTTCGAAAAATACGACACGTGACACTAGAACAACATGAAGGTGAGTGAGAAATGATAACATGTTTAAAATTTTTGAGTGAACTAGCCCTTTAAATTATGTTGTGTTCATCTGCAGGATGAAATTTGAGACATGTTTAAACCCTATATTTATTTATTTTTACAGAAAATAATAATGATAAATGTATACTCACAATACTTGAGAGCAGAATAGTTATGTTTGTAGCCCATGCTTCAAGATAAAATGAAATTCTCCAACCAATAAAGAAAACTGTAATCGCGATCTCCGTGATCTGTGGAAAACAACAAAAAAACAGTCCTCACCAGTAACGTTAGATGTTTTGAAACCACATTGTACTGTACATTGATACCAACTTAGTGAGTACCCCTAAAATCTTGGGTTCTCCCTCCAGGTATTTGTATTTATGACGGGGGTTCTTCTGGAAAGAAACTTCCACTAATGTTCCAGCCTCGGCCGAGTCGCTGGGGCTCCGGGCTGCAGCCTCCACAGACACCGCCGCCTCAGCCTCGGGTTCAGCTGCTGCTTTCAAGCATTAACACAAGTCTCTGGGTCACTTTCGACTGGTACACATACTCATTTTTCATACACTCGTTACATATTACATGTCTTACTTATCATTTTCTTTTGCTGGTCTGTAAAGTTTCCCTACAAAACAAATTCTGGATCCGTGAAAAGGGCTCTTGTCTTGTGGGGGTTTGGGAATGTTTCCGCCCCTCTCCCATCTGGAGTATGAGGAGTTAATGCACTTTTTGGACAATACAGATAAGGCTGCATGGACTTAAACCACACGGGGCATATGACTTTAGTTTATGAAAGTAAACTAGATGAGTTACAAGCAAAAACAATACAGAATGTGTAGCCTATATTGACGAGACAAAGAATACACATTCAGTTCCTCTCATAATTAAATTGAATATGAAATATGAAATGTTTCTCTGTAGGTCCACTGTTGTCCTTCCTCCCTATAGTTTCAAATGTCCTCTACAGCGCCATTTTATATATATATATATATATATATATATATATATATATATATATATATATATATATATATATATATATATATATATATATATATATATATATATAATTATAGGGGTAGAAATAATCCTCAAAGGAGACCATATATCTTCAATGGTTAAATCTGAATGTTACAGTAAACTACGAGAATACTTTTATGTGAACATAAAACAAATAGTGACTTTATTAAAGTTTCTTCTCCTCAGTGTCAGTTGGGTGCATGTTCACGAGCTCTATGGACAGATGTACCGGATTCCCGCATGACCTTCTCTGTTAACAAAGCTCAGACACAACCATTGTAACCTCAGCAGTGTGACTAAACGAGACACACATAAAGGGCAGAGCGCTGTCATGAACTCTGACAGCAAGAAGGTGAAACTGTTAAATAAAATCTTTATTTTTAGTTTATGTATACACAAAACTATTCTCATAGCTCGATAATATTCCAATTGAACCATGTAGTCACCTTTAAGGATGGTTTTGGTACCTTTCTGGATTTCGAGTCTGAAACCTTGCTTTTATGGAGGATGAGGGAGCTCTCAGATTTCATTTATTCATGCATTTTCTTTTTCGGCTTAGTCCCTTTATTAATCCGGGGTCACCGCAGCAGAATAAACCGCCAACATGTCCAGCACATGTTCTACGGAGAGGATGCCCTTCCAGCTGCAACCCATCTCTGGGAAACATCCATACACACTCGTTCACACACACACTCTACAGACAATTTAGCTCACCTGATTCACCTGTGCCACATGTCTTTGGACTGTGAGGGAAAATGGAGCACCCGGAGGAAACCAATAATGCGAACGTGGGGAGAACATGCAAACTCCACACAGAAATGCCAACTGACAGAGCCAGCGACCAGCGACCTTCTTGCTGTGAGGCGACAGCACTACCTGTTGCGCCACAACATTCATTCATTCATTCATTTTCTTTTCGGCTTATTCCCTTTATTAATCTGGGGTCTCCACAGCGGGATGAACCGCCCTAATTAATTTTTATATTTACTGTATTTTATTTATCTATGCTTGTCATTTATTTGTTATATATAATTCGAGATTCACTCCCCTACAAAATCCCCCCAATCAAATAATCCTGTTAAATCATCTGGTGAAATTGTATTCACAGCACAATATATATCACAAAAATCCAAAATATTGTGATGTCAGATATTTCCAGTATTGCGAAGCCCTAATTCAAGTATTCAGATATTTGTTAAACTAATTTTCATGACAAAACTCTTTTTCAAAACTTTTCCATGCCTGGAAAATGCATGTCAGAATTCCATGACTTTTCCAGGTTTTCTTTCTTTTGCATATCCAAAAATTGTGTTTGTTTCTGTTTAATTTTAACTCACACTGTGGTTGTTTTTTTGGAAATGGAAAAAATGGCATTTTTAAATCTGCATTTTTATTTTTAGACTGTGCAATATCATATTTTTAACTTAAGAAAATTTAAGAAATTAATATCGGGTGGAATAACCATGATTTTCGATCACAACAAATGAAAAAAAAATTATATTCTGAGCAACTTTCAAAAACGGATCCATTGTTTAAAATCCTGCCCCTTTGTGTTATATAAAAAAGTCAACATTGTTACTTGGCTTGATCTTCAGGCAAATAACAGTTTAAAGGTTGCAAAAAAAAGAGCAGCATATAGCCGAATAATAAGTTCAGTACATTAAAAGACAAGCCTTAAACATCATAGTTTCCTTGTTCTCATGTAATTCATGTGTGCAAAATCCCAGCGAATAAGAGGAATAAAACACAGACTGTGACAATCCACACTTGATTATTAATACACACCCTAGGCTGCATTTTAAAAACAATGTGTGTTTGTAATAAAGAGAAGACAGTAAAATGCCCTGTTTTCTGTAAAACCATAAAGGAAATTAAGGGATTGTGACGTCAAAGGACACAGACCATGTCACTAGTTAAAATTGCTTATTTTTTTGGATTTGAACTTTCTTTTACATTTGGGATCATGCAAGTACATACAGTAAGTCAGCAAAATATACAACATTGATGTAGTGGTTTTTTGATTATTTTAATGAAAAGAAATGTACATATTGTGCCTTTAATTCAAATGTCTTTGGTACAATTCAGAGGGAATCCTCCTCTGGCCAGGCTACTAAATTGTAACACTAAATCAAATGTTAACAATTTTTAAGTAAACTAACATATTAGGACTGTATTAAGATAGCTACATTTAAAAAAAGGGTACAAAAACATGTATTGGTATGTTTTGTCCTGTAACACTGTTTAAGATACATACTGGTAATACATGACTTGTGTTAGTGATATATTTGACTGTGGTATAAAGTATTACTGTAAGTGTATAATATACACACTCTCGCATTCATTCGGAAGCTGCAGGTGGCGTCATAACAATAACAGGCTGAAAAAGACAACGAAGAGCACCATGTTAATATTATGCGCATCATTAAACTGCTTTTAAGCATCTCCAGATTTATGGAATGAGCTTTTCTTACCACGTTAGACCTGGGAGAGCAGCATGGAATCACCTTGCAGCAGTATGCGGCTAATGTAATAGCCAGAACTATCTGAACCGTCTCCAAAAGCTCGTCTAACAAAATCAGTTGATTGAACAGCTTCTGTGATTAGAGAACAAAATTAAATAGCAATATTTACAGTTGAAGACTAAACAATTAGCCTTCCTGTGAAATTTGAATCTTTTAAAAATATTTCTCAAATATTTTAACATAACATTTTTCACACTACTTCCTTTTTTCTGGAGAAAGTACTTCTTTTTATTTGGCTGGAATTAAAAAACAATGATTGACTACAGAACAAACCAATGTTATCGAACAACTCTCCTTATTAACCTTATTAAGCATTTAAATGACACTTTAAGCTGAATACTAATGTCTTAAAAACAACTAAACTATTATGTACAGTCATCATGGCAAACGCAAAAGAATTTAGTTTATTAGGAATGAGCTATTAAAACTATTATGTTTAAACATGTATTGGAAAAATAATCTCTTTATTAAACTTGACTAGGGAAACATTTAAAAAAAGAATTTAAATTTACGAGACAGGCTAATAACTTTGTCTTCAACTGTACATGAAGGATAAGGTGAACTGCACATAATGCCAAAAAAAAAAACCCTCTTTAAAGTGGTTGACTTACCTCAGTATGTAAACATGTGCTGTTGCTTGGTATTTGTTCATGGTAATTGTCGAAGTAAGTCCAGCAGCGACCAGGGTGGAAATGTTGCTCATTAAGAGTGATGATAATACAGACAAAATATGCCACAGATGTGACGACTTGCATTCCCAAACAAGCCTTAAGCTGTTAAGAAATAAAATGACAGCGATCCAGAAATGCTTATTAATTAGGTGCATTTTCAATTTAGGCATACTATGATAAAATAATTATGTGTTTTTGGAAATTTTCAGACATACTGTTGGTAGGTGGAGATTCTGAGCTGCTATCGCCACGCTGCCAGCAATTATGCCCTGTTTAAGACAAAAGGTGTTACATATCCTTTTCAAAATTGGTTCCAGATGATGTCTATAATCTATAATTAGAGTATAACTAGAGCTAGGCTTGTTATTAATGAAGATTCAGAGACAATGTAAACTTGATAAAAATGCCAAGATATATAGTGCATTATGAAAATACATGACAGTTCTGCTTTTAGGAAGTCTTAAATAGTCTTTAAAATGTACTCAAAAGCATAGAGTTGTGCCTTTAGGAATGATCAATTATTTTAACTCTCTACTGCACGGTGTCACCATATGGCAACGTGATATTTATGTTCATTTCCCTGCCACTGTTTTTTAAAGACCAACATGGTTTTTTTTTGTTGTTGGTAAGAGAAGACCTTAGAGTAGCCAATGATGTGCTTTGGTTAAGTCACATGTCATGCAGTGTTTTTCTGTAGCGAATTTCTGACAGACTGACATTTATTGTGAGATGCAGCTGAATGCAAATGTAAACGTCAATAAAAACAAAGGATCAAATTTTGTCAGATCCACAAAAAAAATCTGAAACATCACCTCCAGTAAGGTATGATGACATATTCACAACCAATTTTTTTTTAATTAAATTAGTTTTGTGTAAATTGATCACATGTATGGGCTGCCAATTGGCAACACTGTCCAAGAGTGGAACATGCAATATTGTAATGTGTTAGCTAGCTAGCAGGGTCAGCTGTGAACTTTTAAGTTGTAACAATAACAACATGAAGGCTAGTAATTAGTCATGTGTTAATGGCATTTGCATTATGGATAAAATCTTGTTTTAATGGTAATACTACTTTTGAACAGATATGTATACAGGGAACAGTGTATTAGCGAGCACCACCATGTTCTATGTTAAATGAAAGAAGAGAAGGACAGAACTGGCTCTTCCTGCAGATGAAAGTGAGGGTGAGATGGGTTTTAGTGACCATGAGAATGATGCAGATGAGACATTTGATAGAGACAGTTCAGGTAAGTTTGTTTTTAATAATATCCAGCAAAAAACAATGGAATAAATGAAAGTTGTCGGAATATCAGTTGTTGCAAAGTATGTATAAGGTGTCATTTATAATTTCTGTGTTAAAGCTTATAATACTGCAACACCAATTAAATCATTTCAAACAACAAAACTATTTATTATAAGGGAAGTTTTAAATGTGAAATTTCTGAGTTAGATACACTGTTGGACGTTGAGCCATATGGCAACATATCATAAAGTACCTTAAAAATAAACTTCCACATTTTTTTCACAGCACTTCAAGCTAAGCCATTTCAAGAAAAGAAAAACAGATTAATAGATTTAATAGATTTATCATAATGCATGCGGTAGAGGGTTAAATATATGTTATTATGAGAAATAAACATAAAAATATGTATGTAGTTCCAATTGTAACAAAAAATATGAACAGTATTAAATAAACTAATGCTATAGTCCATAAACTGGTATTGCCCATTCCTGACATCTTTAAAAAAAGTTTTTCAGTTGTGCCCAGTTTTGCTAGATTGGGTAGTTTTGAATGTGATTGAGCGGGTAAAAAAGGGCATGGGCTGGTTGACAAAATTTGGGCGGTTTTGAAACATAATATTTATATGCGACTTATTTAACAAAACAACTGTCCTAACCATTCAGTTAGTAGTGACCAGTGCATATTGCAAACCACGTGGGCAAACCCGCAAGAGGAGTTAAAGGAAAGTTGTATAAAAAAAAATCAGGCTCCCCGGACAAATCTGTCTTCCCTTTAAGTGCATGCGCATGACGCAGCCCCAGCAGTTAAACTCACAACGGTTTATCATGACACTTTTATTAATAATTTTTCCCCACAATTGACAGCAAGAACAAACATAGAAGTGTTGTCTGATTGACAAGCAGCACCTGATTATGTTTAAACCTATATTTTACAGTCAATGGTTTAAACACCAAATAGGACGAATTTAAACCCCATTTCAAAAGTAAAACATACTCTTAACATATCCATGTTGTAACTGCTAGTATCGGTTGCTGTATGGTTAAAATTATGACAGTTAAATCCGATTTAAAATTTAATAAAACATCAATCTTATATTTTGGGTGTTTTTTTGTGCATTTTGGCGGGTTTTGGACAACTTTTGGGCTGGAAAAAGTCAAAATCTGGCAACATGTCCCTCTTCTCCTCAGTCAATATAACGTTACACCAAGCTGGAGATTTTCCAACATTTCTTGTTTTGCGGTTCGAAAAACATGACACTAAAACAACATGAAGGTGAGAGTAGGAAATGATAACCTGCGGTTTAAAATGTTTGAGTGAACTAGCCCTTTAAATGAGGTTTGGTTTATCTGCAGGATTTCGTCGTTTCGCAATGACGTTAAATATTAGGAATGTTTCAACTCCATATTTAATTTTACAAAAAAAATATATATATAATAAATGTATACTCACAATACTGGAGAGCAGAATGGTTGTGTTTGTAGTCCACGCATATGCTTCAAGATAAAATGAAATTCTCCAACCAATAAAGAAAACTGTAATCGCGATCTCCGTGATCTGTGGAAAACGACAACATTAACAGTCCTCACCAGTAGATGTTTTGAAACCACATGGTACTGTACATTCACACCAACTTAGTGTGTACCCCTAAAATCTTGGGTTCTCCCTCCAGGTATTTGTATTTATGACGGGGGTTCTTCTGGAAAGAAACTTCCACTAATGTTCCAGCCTCGCCTGAGTCGCTGGGGCTCCGGGCTGCAGCCTCCACAGACACCGCCGCCTCAGCCTCGGGTTCAGCTGCTGCTTTCAAGCATCAACACAAGTCTCTGGGTCACTTTCGACTGGTACACATACTCATTTTTACACACTCGTTACATATTACATGTCTTACTTATCATTTTCTTTTGCTGGTCTGTAAAGTTTCCTTACAAAACAAATTCTGGATCCGTGAAAAGGGCTCTTGTCTTGTGGGGGTTTGGGAATGTTTCCGCCCCTCTCCCATCTGGAGTATGAGGAGTTAATGCACTTTTTGGACAATACAGATGATAAGGCTGGACTTAAACCAGATGGGGCATGTCCGCACTTTGACTTTAGTTTATGAAAGTGAACTAGATTAGTTATAAGCATAAACAATTCAGAATGTGTAGCTTATTGACGAGACAAAGAAAATGTATTCAATTACTCTCTTAATTTTGGTAAATATGAAATGTTTTTCTGTTGGTCCACTGTTGTTGTTCTTCCTTCCTTCACTGGTGGTTTCAAATATCCTCTACAGCGCCATTACATGCAGTTTGAGCTTAAAGGGATAGCACTGAAGTCAAAAAAGGGCCATATATACTTGCTAAACAAAAGAAAAATTTGCAAACAAAAAATAAAGTATTGAGCAAAAATAAATTAATTAATTAAAATCTCCAAAAATCGCAAAGCGGAAATTTATTTTTGAAAGAAAAAATAGTTTTGCTAACAAAAATAAAGAACTGGAAAGGGAAAATTAAGTTTTGAGAAATAGAAATTACATTTGCAAATATAAAAAGAACTGCAAACAAAAAACAAGCAGTGCAAAACTTTTTTTTTACAAATTTGCATATATTCATCCGTGAGTTTGTAAAGTTTTTTAATTTGCACTTCAAGTTTCTGTGTGCTTTGTGGCCCTGATTTGACAAGGGGGCGGAGTCAAGGGAACTTGGGAGCGCATTTACGGCAGGCAGTCCCAGTTTAAATAATTTTCTGTTAAAACATGTAAAGGTCATGTGACCATCAGGAAGAACACTGTATCTCTTTTCTCACAGGATGCGTTCTCTGTTCTCAGGGTCTCCTGAGTTCGTGCTTCCATGGTAACATGGCAAGAACTGCCTCTACAAGAACATGAGTCTGTTCTCTGCGTTTTTGGAATTGACACACAGCCCTAATGTTATCACATACCGATAAACTTCCGGTGAACAGTTAATGTGACTTTTTCTTTCAATCTTATAAGGTTACTTGTACGGCACGAATGTTTTAATGTAATTAAAATATAATCCGTTAAATAGATTTCAACGTTTATTTAGCTGTTCAAGACTAAAACGAGATAATAATCCTTTTACATGCAGGCACCCGTCAGGATTAGTAGGCTAGCGCAGAAGCTCCATTGAAAACACTGGGGTAAAATAAATGTATTTTAAGACATTGCATTGAAAATTTTTTATTTAATCTAGTGTTTCTTGTGCATTCTTAGACCCACTTTATATCATATATTAATCAGGCAGTAAATATCGTTGTTTTTTAAATGTGCCAATTTTGTAACGGCATACAGCTCATAGGAAGTGCTTGACCCAGGTTACTGAAAAATTCTAAGTCTTTTTACATTCTTCTGCATATACCCCATACACATACTGAAAAAATACACAATATAGTAATAATCCCAAAGTAATAAATCAAACTGCCAGTTTCATTGTTATTATTAAGTATGGGTTTGAGTAAAATGTTGACATTCCTTTTATTATATACATTTTTGTGAACAATGTTGTGGCTGGATCTGTTTTTGACAATTGGTCAGAATTTATTTTTATTTTTTTTGATGTCTTGTGATTGAAAATCAGGGTTATTCCGCTAAATATTAATTTCTTAAATTTTCTGAAGTTAAAAAATATGTTATTGCGCACAGGGCCAGACCATTGCATAGGCAGCATAGGCAAATGCTATGGGCGCCAAAAAGTATATATAATAATAATAATATAGCCTACACTGTAAAACCCAAAAAGTTAAAGTAACTCAAACCATTTGAGGAAACCAATTGCAACAAACCATGTTCAAAAACTAATGCTAATGAGTACTGTGAACTTAATTCATTTGAGTACACAAAGCAATTTGAGCACAGTAAAACCCGATAAGAGAAGAGAAGTCTTAGGACAGAACCCCAGACTTCCCTCTCCCCAGACACTTCCTCCAGCTCCTCCAGGGGCATCCCGGGGTGTTCCCAGGCCAGCCGAGAGACATAGTCCCTTCAGCATGTCCTGGGTCTTCCCCAAAGGCCTCCTCTTAGTGGGACATGCCTGGAACACCTCCCAAGGTAGGGGTCCAGGAGGCATCCGAAACAGATGCCTGAGCCACCTCAGCTGACTTCTATCGATGTGGAGGACTCATTTCGGCTGCTTGTATCCAAGATCTTGTCCTTTCGGTCATGACCCAAAGCTTATGACCATAGGTGAGAATAGGAACGTAGATTGACTGGTAAATCGAGAGCTTTGCCTTTCGGCTCAGCTTCTACTTCACCACAATGGACCGGTACATTGACCGCATTACTGCTGCTGCTGCACCAATCCGCCTGTCAATCTCACGTTCCATCCTTCCCTCATTCGTGAACAAAACTTTCTAACCACCTTTTTCCGGTGGAGCACTATGGCCTCAGACTTGGAGGTGCGGATTCTTATCCCAGCCGCGTCACACTCAGCAGCAAACCACCCCAGTGCGGAAGGTCCATGTTCGATGAAGCCAACAGAACAACATTGTCTGCGAATAACACAGATAAAATCCTGTGGTCCCCGAACCGGATCCCCCCCCAGCCCTAGGCTGCACCTTGAAATTCTGTCCATAAAAAAATTATGAATAGAATTGGTGACAAGGGGCAGCCCTGCCGGAGTCCAACATGCACTGGAAACAAATCTGACTTATTGCCAGCAATGCAAAACAGACTCCTACTCTGTTCATACAGGGACGAGACGGCCCTCAACAGATCGCCTCTGACCCCATACTCCCCGAGCACCCTCCACAGAATGCCACAAGGGGACACGAATGCCTTCTCCAAGTCCACAAAACACATGTAGACTGGTTGGGCATACTCCCATGAACCCTCGAGCACCCTGGTGAGGGTGTAGAGCTGGTTCAGTGTACCACGGCCCGAACGAAAACCGCATTGTTCCTCCTGGATTCTAGGTTCAACCTTCGGCTGGATCCTCCTCTCCAGTACCCTGGCATAGACTTTCCCCGAGAGGCTGAGGAGTGTGATCCCCCAATAGTTGGAGCACACCCTCCGGTCTCCCTTCCTAAAAATGGGAACCACCACCCCAGTTGCCCAGTCCAGAGGTACTGTCCCAGACCTCCATGCGATGTTGTAAAGACGTGTCAGCCATGACAGCCCCACAACATCCAGAGACCTATGATACACAGGGTTACTCCATTTAAGTTGAGGTAATAAAGAATTTAACTCCTTACCTTCAACACTGAGTTCAAAACTCTTTTTCAACTCTCTTTCAACTTTGAGTTATTACACTCATTTCATTTGATAAAGTTGGCTGTTGGGTTTTACAGTGTACTTGCCTAAGACGCACCCCTTCCAAATAATTGCTTTATCTAGGTATATTTAAATTTATTATTAGGCTGGTGTCACTTACAGTAGTTCTCTTCTGCCTTCAGATGCGCTGCTGAGCTTTCTCAGTCTCATCGTAGTAAATCCTACTTTCTAAGTATTTTGAATGTGCGACTGCTTTATTTAAATAAAAGAATGTCCAAGACTAAGCTAGTAAGTTTGTATACTGTATACTAGCAGTAGGCACAGGCCGGAATAAGATTCTGATTTTATGATAACCCCCCAGCCGCGTTGAACGCAATATATTTTATTTTAAGAAACATTTAAAATATTATGGACTAGTAGATTTTGATGTATAGGTTTGTTTTCTGGTGAAGGTACTGTGGCTCTAAGAAAAACCTAAATAAAATAGTTGTGAAAAACATGTTAGAAAAAGTATACATATATCATAGGAACTGTATAACAGACAACGTTGGCGTTTTATAATCTTGACTACCAAACCGCTGTAAACCTTGAAACTGGTTGTCATCCCATGCCTAAATAGCAGTGGAATTTACCGCGATGCAACTGGGCGCCATCTGTAATTTTGCCTAGGGTGCCAAATAGGTTACGATCGGGCCTGATAGTGCAGTCTAAAAATAAATATGCATGTTTGAAAATATGCCATTTTTTCATTTACAAAAATAAGAACCACCATGTTAGATCAAATAAATAGCAGCACAAAAATTATCTCACAAAATCTTGAGAATTTATCAAATATGTTAAGAAACAGACATCGCCCAGACGTGAACTAAACTAAAACTTGTTCAGAAATGTCATAAGCTGCTCTATTTACATATCCTGAAAGTTAGTTTTTGGAACTGAAAGCTGAGGTTACCCACTTGCATATCCTTAAAATTACCCTACTATGTCGCACAACCTTCTGGAATATCCCCGGTTATTGGTTTCCATGAGGATCCATTATGATTATGTTAATAAATGCAACAAATAAATCAGTCATTAAATTCTCTCAACAAATTATTTATTATTCATAACCAAAAATCAAACATTATTCCCTTTATTCAGTGCATAAATGCAGATTCTGATCACAATTCAGTATAGTAAAGACACTCGCTTTGAAAGCAGAAATATAATAATTCACATCAGAATGAAACTGCTTTTAAAAATCGGATATATTATTAATTACAAAACACGATGTGTAAGCATCAACAAATACAAGAAGCTGAATTCCCTTTATGCATCTTTTTATGTTTTAAAGCCCTTTTGGAAAGCTCAGATTAACATTGGTTATCACAAATAAAACGCATTTGATTTGTGTCAGGAACAAAAGAGTACCTATAGATAGAGAGCACTTACATTTAAGATGGAGCCACAATAAATTATGCACATCCTTCTGTCAGCATAAGGTTAGGTTCTTGAAAAAGGGGGATTATTTTATAAAGATATGCTAAATAAGCCATATACTGAGCCATTTATCTAGTTTTATCGATATTCTTTTAGTGGTAACTGTGATGTGGCCCCATCAGCTTGTATTAGGATGTGCCATATAGTCTCTGCATAGTAAACAATGTTCGGACATATCCAAGGCCATCCATGTTCATCCGTACACATAAGTAACATTCACTTACGACATGCATAACAGTATTAAAATTCCCGTAAACCGGAATTGCTGGTTTTTACATGAACAACAACAACAAACTTTAGGCCTCTATAGTGACTGGTAGCCATCAGTCCGCCGTTTCCTGCTGATAAGATAAGCGATGACTACAATGACGATGAGGATGATGAGGATTATGCCCACGGCGATGGGAACGCGGTAGTCAGGTTGATCAGCCTTGCACACATCAGCTGTTGTAAAAACAAGGAGAACAAGATGTCATTGTAAGAAAAGAAAACATCTATAATACAATATAAAACGACTTTTCAAATCAACTAGATTAAAATGTACACCAACTATTGTTCTAAATGTTTACAAAAAACTGTAACGACTGAGGATCATATACTACAAGTGTATTAAAAATGATTGCAATTAAAATGTATAGATTGTACTACCTGTTAGCTTACATCGATTTCATCTAAAATTAAGTGCGATAAAGGAAGCGAGGTTACAAGCACAAACTAAAGGTAGTTCACCCAAAAATGAAAATTTGGTCATTATCACGTCTTGTTCCAAATCTGTTTGACTTTTTTTTTTTTTTTTATGTTGAACACATTAATATATTCTGAAGAAACCATAGTGTTTGGTTTTCCTACTATGGATGTCGATGGTTACAGGTTTTCAGCTTTCTGACCAGGATGTCTTCTACAAAAGGGTGCTTAAATAGTGAGTTAATATTCATTTTTGTGTCAAATATCCTTTCAAGTCCAAGTTATAATTTTTACAACTGTATATGCATTTATGCCACCTTTAAGCAACAATAAACAGTCGGTGTAAAGACATCTAAAGCCCCGCTCAGATCACATGATTTTTGTTGTCGGTTACGAAAGTAAAATACTGACTTGTCGCGAGTAACAAATGTGCCAGACTACTCGTTCCTTCATGATCAGTCATCCCGTGATGTTTACAAACAGCGTTATTTCCCAGAGCAGTTACAAGTTTTGCTAAAACAATATTTCTTATCTCAATTTCAATTGTTTTTAATCTCAATAAACACTGATGCTTACAGACAATTAGCAACATTATTTAAGGGCATTCCTATTCATGACATGAATAGGATCAAACTTAGGATTCCTTTTTAATATAAAAATATTTTCTTTGAAATTCTTTGAAATTCTTTGAAGTTTTGTGAAATTTTTGTTGGTCAGTTATCAATGAACAAGAATAATGAATAACATTTGAGGTGATGAGCTTCAAAACAAATCCGCTATATGCAACCAAGACACAAATTGCCGTGAGATTGTGTTGGTTTGTTAAATAAAATCATTATCTAGCCTAAATAAAATTAAAGTGAAATATTCAGTTTCAGAGAAGCCTTTATTAAATCATTTTCACTATTAATGACAAATTTGAATAAGCAGGAAATGCTTCTGCAATGTATTCGCAGCACTAAACATGTTTCCAGATTATTTCGGAAGAACAAACTCTGTTGGAAGGATGAGAGAACTCAGAAACTCGTGAGAATGGAGATATCTGCATATTTGTGTCAGTCTGTCAGATAAAATTGCTTAAAACACCTTAATATTTTAGAAGAGGTAGTTAAAGTTTGCAAAACCAATGATTGATCTTATCCACCCGTCACCCACCCCTAAGTAAATATGCAGCCTATTTTTTGATTACCTGACCAGCGCATTAACGGCGGCACCCTCGGATATAACCAAATAATTATGTGCACCTATTGCACAGTGTCACCCACGTGACTGAACTCGTTGTGAGAACGAGAAAAAATAAAACATGCTAGACTTTCTGCGATGGTGTCGTGAGGCATCGCAGGCATGGTATCAGTTGTCGTGAACTATGTCACATTACACGAGAAGAAATTATTTAATCTTGTGTCACGACACTCATTTGTTGTTTATGAATCCCCATGACACCCTGCATCAAGAAGATCGTGCCGAAATCGTGACAAATTCATGTGATCTGACCAGGGATTAAATGTTCTTTTAGATGCACCTCTGTTCTACTTCTGCAGTGTAAATTTGACCCTAGACTTTCAAATCAATCCGAAGAAGTAAATGCAAAATATGCACCTCTTGCTAGGAGACAAATGACAACTGTAAACAATATATTTTCTAAAGTCCATTCAACACATCAGATGTCTGGTCTTATCCAACTAGTGGTTTTGACAACTACTGTTGATTCATCTAGTGGTGTGTTTCTCAAGATGGTTCAATGATTAAATGGCCATTCACACTAAGGGCAATAACTATAAATATACTATTATATTATATATACCATTATATACTTTTTTTGTGTAGACACAAGCATTCGTTAATAATAATGATCTGTTTCTTTTTAGTTTATACTATTTTGCAATTCCCTTTTATAACCAGCAGATGTGCACGTTTCAGTGTGCTACGTTTCTTGTGCATCTGACCAGTGAATCCAGCTTGTGTAATTTAATCAAAGCAACTGCAATCTAGTGGAAGTAAAACAACTCTTATTTTTCCGCAGCATTTTCAAAGGAGCAACACAAAGACGATGAAACTATACTGGATACACGAGGTACTTTTATTTTTATACTTCAATTTGCTTAACTGGTTTGCATAGCTTCCATCATTCCCTCCCCTAATACAACCAACTGTTTTCAAGATGGTTATCATCTTTCAATAATGTTTAAAAAGATGGCTAAACATTAAGCAGTAAGCTTCTCCACACTATCATCTGTAGCTTTAAATTATGGCAGCCCTTTATAATTCAATGGATTTTGACTGGCAGTCTACATTTTTTTGTTTATTAGCAAGGAAAAAAAACGTTTTAAAAGTAGTTCCAATGAAATCATTTCTCTAGATCTTTATCGATGACATAGCTGTCATTTGAACTTTTCTGTTTATTAGAATAATGTCTTCAGAGTTGTCATGCTTGGATGGCCCTTAAAGGGATAGTTCACTCAAAAATAAAAATTGACTTACTATTTACTCTCCCTCAAGTGGTTCTAAACCTTTAGTAGTTTCTTTATTGTGTTGAACACAAAAGAAGATGATTTAAGGAAAGCTGAAAACCACTGACTTCCATAGTCAAAACAAATACTATTGAAGTCAATGGTTACAGATTTCCAGCTTTCCTAAACATGACTTTTGTGTTCAACAAAAGAAGAAAATAGTAAAGGGCGAGTCATTTTTGGGTGAACTATCCCTGTAGGTATTTCCAGAAAGCCTCATTAAAATGAACATTTCATAAACCTCATTGCAAACTTGTGGATGAAACTACCACTTGTGGTAGAATATAAGCAAGCTTGCATACAGTACAATCTATACATTTAATTCCACATATGCACAGCGTTCATCTTACATCATTTAGTTTGTTAAACCATTTAAAAAGCACAATTAAAGCAAAAAAAATTTGGGTAAATGAAGTCCCTTATTGCCATGTCTGCTATTTACAGCAGTAATCAGTCATTATTTTAAACTACATCTTTTGAATTAACAGAAGTTCTAGTAACAGAGAAAAAACAATGTGGTTTGAACAACAGATACGAAACCATTCGGGAAACATTGGTGAGAAGCATGCATTGTTGTTGAAGAAACACACCCTTGACTATCAATCTGAGCAAAGGTTGTGTAGTTTATTCCAGCCTTAAATATCAAGAAGACTAGAAAGAGATGCACACCAAAAATATAACAATTCAGAAATGACTATTACTTTTCTGTTGTGTTAAAGGAAACATTTTAACTGATAGTTGTGTCAGATAATAAAAAAAATCTAGCAATTTTTTTTAAAAGTAGCAGATATTTTTAAATAAAAAACTAAAGATGCAAAGAACAAGATCCATATTAGTTAATAATTAATTATAGCAGGTGGCCTTTGAACTTATTAGCAGTTGGACTTTTTCTTTGCGCCAGTTGTTCAGAGTCATCTGGCTGGTCTAACCAGCTTCTTTGCATTGGCACATTTGCAAAAATAATATTTTTTGTAAACAAGTTAAAAAAGGTATGTAGGACATAAGATATGCGTAGGCCCACACGGAATCTGCACACACAGAAATCAGCAGATTTTTAGCCCACCATGGAGTCTATTTATTTACTTGTGTAAATGCGTGTAAATGTATATTTATTCAGTTTTTTTATTAACTTCAGTAATAATATTGACTAATATAAAAGTGTTCATTTGTTTACAATACAGTTTATAAAGTAATATTTTCTGTCTTTTAGTAGATATCCTATGACAGACTTGCTTTGTTTACCAAATAAGTGGATCTAGATAAATTTGCATTGTAAACATTCAATAAAAGTTAAAAAGGTATTACTTTTTATTTCATATATTAAGTTTTTAGTTACGATACACCCAAAATCATTCTGCATAAATCTGCAGATTTGTACAAAATTCTCAGCAGAAATAGCAAAAAAAATGTCAGCCGATTCTGTCTGGCCCTAGTTATGCAGTACTTAAAATAGTAGCGTCTATTTATACTTTGTTACGTAGCTTTGTAACAAAGTAGAGTTTAAGGTTGATTTATTACAAAGACGGGGGTGATTTAAAGGGGTACTTTACCCAAAAAACCTTTGAGTTTCTTTCTTCTGTTGATCAAAAAGAAGATATTTTAGAGAATATTGTAAACTGGTAGTTATTGACTTCCATTGTAAAAAAAAAAAAATATTAATAATGGAAGTCAATGGCTATCAGTTTAGAACATTCTTTAAAAAAAATCTACTTATTTGATCAACAGAGGATAAAAACAGCAACCGACACTTAAAACACGATGACAGAATTCTCATCACTTACGTGTCCCGAATTCGTTGTTTTTGAAGTTGAAGGCTTGAATTTTGTTGTGGGTCAAGTCTAGACTTAGACCGTTCCCCATGTACACCGTCTGAGAGCTGCAGGAGTAATAATGACCAGGAACAGAAGCAAACAGCTGCAAAGAGTCATTCTTCCCAGAGTAGTTTTTTGACCCAACTTTGAGAAAAATAAAAACAATTTTTTCATTACACAATTGTGCGTGATAAAACTACAAGGTCAGGTCTCTTCTTGTTTTTGCTCTGCACATTAATGGATTGGCTCTTCAGTGTTTGGACTCTCAGCAGTGAAAATTAAACCACACTGAACGAAACTGAATTTTAACTCTGAAAACTGGACTGACACTGTTTCAATTTACGATAATCTAATATGTTAGGCTGCTTTGATGCAATCTCCATTGAAAAAGTGCTATAGAAATAAAGATGAATTGAACTGAATTCTTAATCCCACATATGATTGAGATAAGGCTTATATGCAAGGCATAATTATATATAGTCAAAACAACTCTACTTCCTCAGATGAAACATGGAAACATATGGATGCATACGTTAATATACTAGTCTTTAGGCAACGTCTGATTTTTTTTTGTGTTTTTCATACTGCCAAAGATTTACTGTAACCAAAACAACTCTTAATACTTCCTCGTACTTAAATGGCGGCATGTGACATTTAATGTTGTCAAACTGGTTGATCTTCAAAGTCTCGTGTTTGTTTGCCATTTATGTCACATTTGATTCAATTCTTGAACAACCGATTTTAAAATTAAATAATATCAAACTGTTTAAAGAAACAATTACTATTGGTCTATTTTTATCTTTAAATACTTAAATGCAAATATTGTACAACTATACAGATACTAATGTGAAAGTACAAGGAATAAATTTATGACGCTTGTTTTTGGTAATTTACATTATGGTACTATGGTACATATGTAAAGGAGGTTACCTTTAGTATTGAAAGCATAGGTCAAGTCAACTTCCACAAGCTGCACATAGATCTTTTGTGCTGTATCATCCTGAAAAATTAAAGACAGAAATTCATTAGAATGTTAGCCAAAAAACAAGCAAATCGAAACCCTGTCATGCATTTCAAAACCGTAACAGTTTTCCAAATAACTGTTTGAACAAATTTGCCAATTCATACACTTGCTATACTACATTAAAACTAACCTCAATCTGGTAAACAACAACATCAGGCTGAACTTGACCTTAATGACTAACAAACATTATCAGCATAACTGCAGCTTACTGATATTATGCAGGTCACCGTATCTCAGCCTGGTGCCTCCCCTGTGAATTTACTGCTTTATTTGTTATTAAGAGGGCACTCCGATTTCAATAATAGTCTTTTAGTCTTTTATACTTCCTCCTAAAGTGGCCTAAAGTTCTGTTTTTTTTGGACCACACAAACTCAGGTTGCACCCACACACAACAGTTGAATATCACTAGTGTGATTATAAGAAACTACAACCATAAACAAACTTCTAGATAAAAAAAATAAATGTCACCACATCATTGATGAACATTCAGAGAAAATACTTACATTTACAAATTTTAAGATAACTGAACCTTCACCGAATAAAAGATTGATATTAGCTGTCTTTTCCGAACATCCTCCACTGGAAGTAGTTTTGCTTGGCTGTACAATGAATGTGTCGTTAACCTAGAGAGGGCAAGAGAAATGTTTCAAAAGAGTGGATAATATAGGTTTAGACATAAGTGAATCGCATTTGGATGCAGAGAAATCTTTTACCTCGCTGGTGTTCACACGGATCCCAATTGCAAAGTCAGCCAGAATACATAATTTTCCATCTTGACTAGAATTATATTTCCCCACTGTCAAGTTGGCAGGTGGTGTTGGAGCTGGGATTGGAGTGGTTGTGTTCGGGGCATGGGTGGTTGTGTTCGGGGCATGGGTGGTTGTGTTCGGGGCATGGGTGGTTGTGTTCGGGGCATGGGTGGTTGTGTTCGGGGCATGGGTGGTTGTGTTCGGGGCATGGGTGGTTGTGGTTGTAGTCGGGGGAGGGGCGGTTGTGGTTGTGGTTGGGTCAGGTTTGCTTGTAGGACCTCCTTGCAATGTTGAACTGTACTGACCTGAAGTCAGAGCTGAGGAGAAAGATTCAGACAAAAATAAAAATCAATTGTATCCTCAATCACAGAAATTATTCCAAAACATTTACCTTAATAAAAAAATAACTAAGCTACATTTCTAGTGAGAAATAAAGAATAATAGTGTATAGCACTGAGCCTCTATGAATAGTGCACTTGTTGGTTCTATTTACATACATTCACTTCCTCAAGAGCGCGCGCGCTGTCACAAGAACGCACACGTCAAAATTTCCCAACAGGGAAATGTGCTAATTCACTTCAGACGGTTTCACGTGATGTTTGATCAATAGTTTGGACGTACAATAGAAATGCAAGTGCTGGTAACTGACGCTAACTTTAGGGACAGCTTCGCATGTCAACTTGCTTACCACATGGTACACTTGTGAACTTCACTCTACATTCGTTTTAAATGCAAAAACAAACGACATCAGCTGCACTTCAACATCATTTCTAATTTCTTTCAACAGTTCTAACATTTGATAGTCTGAAGCGCGGTGAAGACTTGATCTCAGTGTTTTTCCACAGCGTTGAATTTAATTTAAGCGTGGAAATCGAAACCAGTTTAGGTGCCAAAAAGCGTCACATATCAAGTCTGTTGCTGTCATACTTGCTTTAACAAGTTATCTCGAAAAATACATTAAAAAAAAGTAAATCACTTATTACACATATTAATAATGAAATGATAAGTTAACGTTACAGCTGTATCCTGCACCACCGCCACTTCCTTGATTAAACCAGTTCGTTTTGTTGTAAAGTGAACATAGATAGATAGTCATTTATATACTTAACACAGCTCCTTAATATTTCAGTATAACAAAATACACGATTAAAATGGCGTTTACCAAATGGTGGACACAAGGTAAGCGCACTATTTAATATTCCCACCTAGCAAAAAGTCGTCGAAAAGACGTCTCGTGCTGAGCGGGTTCCCTTTCAAAAGCGAGTAAATAATCTACTTTACCTGCTGCAGCAATGCAAATGGCGATCATTAATAATCCGTGCTTCATTTTCGTCTGTTTTTCGATGCACCTGACACAGAAACTTCGCTGGATTGTCAGCTGTAAAGCGGCGTCAGTAGCCTGTGTGGTGTTGAAAGTCTGTCGCACACTGCACTTATTCGCCTGAAACGAAACCACTGATAAAGCAAAGGAAGTCTGGTCTTAGTGTTTGTCCAATCACAGTTGTAGTTGGACTTTCAGCAGCGTCCCAGAAATTCAATACAGTGCTCAGCTTGCTATAAAGTGAATGAAAACTAATATTGTTGTCTGTAGTTTAGCTTGTAAGATCTGTTATTGTGAGATTTATTGTGCATTCGTCTTTAAATCAGATAACTAGCTACTTCATGACCAGTTCTCAGTTATTTTGTTCAATAAAACGTTTTAAAATGATTTAAATCTACATAAAATCACATATAATCATTGGTAATATAAGGTTAAATAGCCTATGATTTAATTCACATTAATTTGGTTGCTAAAAAGGGGACACATTCTTATCATCCCTTTCAGAAAGAAGTTCAAGTATTGTACTTTAAAACTAAATCAGGGGTGCCAATCTCTGCCCTGAAGGGTTGCTTTTCTGACAACTTAGTCTAACAACAAGTGCATATGATATAATAGCCACAAGTGCACTTGATTTAATGAACTTGTTAAGTTGGTGGCCTCCTTATTGGTCATTGCAGATTATGACTGACATATTTTTATGGTGTCAATAATAGATAGTAATATTAAGGTGCCATTATAAGTCTAGGACAACCTCAGTGCCAGTGCAAACAAATTGGGTCACTTCCTTATCTCACACCTTGACTCCTAACCAGACTTTACAATGAATAAAGAGTTAATAAAACAGTTAAATACAAATGAGAAACAATCTTTTTATTTTTAATTTGCAATAATAAAGCTTATACAGCAGTTCAAATCTCCCTAAACACCGAGCTAAGCAGGAAGCTGTTGTGATTTTGCTGTTAATCATGTGACAAATGCAGGAAGTGAAAAACTGACTCAGGCTCACCATGCATGACAGTAACTGGAGAATCAGTCTGAGTCTCATTAAGCACTGCAATGTCAAAGAATGCACACATGCATTTACATCATTATCTGTTAATATATCAAACTGTAGGAAAATACAGTGAATTTCTATCAAATGATAGTGGTTTTATCATAACCTCTACATCTCATGACTTCTGGAATAAGGCGGGGAAGTTCTGGTAAGTTTTGTAGTATGAGGAAAAACAAGCACAAGAAATGCTGATTGAAATACGATGCATTCCTAGTCTTAGGCAGAAGTCACATGTCTACCTCTTGTGCATTTTTGATAAACACACAAGCAAAATTTCCTCTGAAATCTTTAGAAACAATAAAAAGCGAAAGTTCAAGATCATTAAAGTCCCATATTTACATCTATAAACTGTAAAACTGGGTAAGTTCAGACTAATCAAAGCATTTGTGGATGCAAAACATTTGAGTAAATGACTCCTCTTTTTAAGTTAGTATAACTTAATATTTTTTGTAGGCTACCTACCACAACATGTTTGTGATAGGTGTCTCTCAATAACACTTGCTCTCATTAACTCATAGCCCTCTTTGTCAAAGTGTTGGTTATAATTTGAACGAAATATCATATACAATAATTTGTGCAATTTGTTTGCATAAACAAAAGCTTTGCAAAGGTTCAATTGAACTCATGCACCAAAGAAACAGACCTTTTTGAGTTATTAGGATCTTAAAGTTTAAGATGTGTACTCATAGAGTCTGCTGTTGCAATGAACTGCCACTAACAAACTCACAAACAGTTGATGCCCTAGCTTTAGCGCTGATAAAAAGTTTTATTTATGAATAAATTAAAAGGTTTGGTGACAAAGTTTTAGAGCTGGTCATAGCACCGAGTCTGCTCTATTGAGGGTTTCAAGCGATATTTTGTTTAAGGTTGATTCAGGTAGCCCTGTTGCTCTTCTACTGTTGGATCTTAGGGTGCTTTCACACCTGTGAATCGATTCAGTTGTTCCGAAACAGAGATTACAATTGTTACATTGTTGCTCTTTGCTCTTGGAGCGGTTCGCTTTCACACTGCAAAGTTTCTAATCGGACCAAAAGAGCTTAAACAAGTCACGTGCGAGTAAACTCTCCTCACATTGGTCAGTGTCAGGGTTTATTTTGCAGCGTCCCGCTAAGCTGTCAGGAGAAGTGGTGGTTTGGTGGTGATTGACAGGGTGCGCGCGCGCGATGTGTCTGAGGAGAGATGCGGAGGGGAGGGGTGAGAAGGGTGCGCGACGATGCCTATTTGAGGACCTGTAGGGAGACGCGAGATTACCGGGAGATCATCACTCGTTTGCGGGCATCCGGAGACTCGCGAAACTTCCCACCCCAATCATAATTCTCTCTTCATATAGCCGTATATGCCTATTACATATCCATAAAACACAGTGATACAACCGCGCTCGGATCGGATCGCTTTCTCACTACAATCGAACCGCTCCAGGGTTCGTTTCAATCGAGCCGAGACCACCTCATTCAAGCGATCTCGGAGCGATTACTTTGGCGCGGAACAGAGCGCGATTGCCCTGTTCACATATGCCAATCGAACCGCGCTAACTGGGCAAACGAGATACGTTCCGAAACAAAAGTGTAGGTGTGAAAGCACCCTTAGTGCTGCTTTTGATACAGTGGATCATGACATTCTCACTGATCAGCTTAGAGAACACGCTGGTATTCAGGGTCTAGCCTTGGATTGGTTCTCCTCATATCTGAAGGATAGAACTATCTTAGTCAGTTTGGACAGCTCTTCTTCATCTGTCATTCAATTAGTGTGTGGGGTTCCGCAGGGCTCGATACTGGGTCCTGTTTTGTTTTCCCTTTACTCACTTCCGTTAGGAAAAATGTTTGAAAAGCATGGCATAAATGACCCTCTATATGCTGATGACTCTCAAATCTACTTCCCTATGAAATCTGAGGAATTATCCTACCTTCAGGCTTTGTTTGATTGTTTGACTGATGTGAAGTGTTGGTTAGCAAATAACTTTCTCCAACTGAATGAGGACAAGAGTGAATTCATAGTTTTTGGTCAAAAAGGTTTGGATTTTTATGGCAATCTATCATTGCTGCCTGGAAAAAATACATTCCTCTGTAAAAAAGTATTGGTGTCATCTTTGACTCTGAGCTTCTTCTTCTTCTTGTTTTATGGCGGGTGGTATCAAACTTTAAGGCACTTTACCGCCACCTACTATACTGGAGTGTAAACCAGAAGGATTATGAAACTCATATTATATATTATATTATATATATTAGCCCAGTTTGCCTCAAAAATGAAATTAAATAACTATAGTTCTCTGTTTGACTAAGTATTTGATTTGTTTTTATTGTTTCCTGATGTATTTTCCTGAATATTTCCCTTTCATAATTATATTTCTGACAATGACATAATATATGATCTACCGATTCTTCTACTTGACAATAATCACATAATCCAGTAGGATGCTTCCCAATAATATGTAATGTTTTATTCTGAGCTTAAACTTGATCGGCAAATTAATGCGGTTGTCAAAAATAGTTTTTTCTATTTTAGATATATTGCCAAGCTGAAGTCTGTCCTCTCTTTTAGTGACTTGGAGAAGGTTGTTAATGCTTCATCTCTTCTCGTCTGGATTATTGCAGTGCATTGTATGTGGGTGTGAGCCAGGCCTCTCTCTCACGACTGCAGCTGGTCTAGAACGCAGCTGCCAGGCTCTTAACAGGCACAAAAAATGAGAACACATTACACCTGTACTGGTTTCTCTACACTGGCTGCTAATACAGTTTAGAATTCAGCACAAAGTTCTGTTGTGTGTTTTTATATCCCTCCATGGGCCCCTGAGTATACTTCTGAGCTAATTAATACACCAACCTGTGAGATGTCTTCGCTCTAAGGATCATCTCTATTTGACAGTTCCACGATCACGCTTAAAATGTCGAGGTGATAGAGCTTTCTCGGTAGCAGCTCCAAGACTCTGAAATGATCTTCCACTCTCCTTAAGAACAGCTCCAACTTTTGAGTCTTTTCAGAGGTCACTTAAAACACACCTATTTTCTTTAGCTTTTAATCATGTGATGTGAGTATGCATTTTGGTTTTGTGTATATTTGCATGTTTACTGTGTGTTTTATGTACAGCACTTTGATACCCATTGTGGTTTGTTGGAAGTGCTCTAGAAATAAAATGAGTTGAGGTATTTGGTTGTTCCACATTTCTTTGAGGAAACCAGTCCACCATTATACCTGAAATGTGTATATAATACACATTTTATGACCAGGTTGCCCTCTATTTGCACATTTGAAGTTAAGGACTTGTGTGAGCAGTAGACATAATATGTGTATGGTCTCTCAGAGATACAGCAAGAGTTTGTCAGTTTGATCCATCAGACTGCTTAGCGGATGGTTGCACAGCAGACTCTACGCCTATCCGTCCAATAAACAGTTCACTTTAATACACATGTGGTTTTGTGAACAATTTCTGGTTCACTTAAAAAGCATGTGACCAACCAAAGCTAGAACTTTCCAAGTGTTGAATAGACCCTTAACGGTCCCATTAAATTAAAAGAAAGAATTGTAGATGTTAGTATTGTTAGTTTTTAGGATACCTATAAGCTAATGTGCTCCAAAACTGTGGCTTTACATGATATAAACACGCAAAGCTTGTTGTTTGTCACTTCCACCTAAATTTATCAACGATTTTATTCACGTCACCTTATCCTTCAGTTTCAAATCGTGCCAAAACAGCCAACAGTGTTTTGTTTTATCAATGCTCAATTACTCTTACTAGCAGAAGTGGTGATAAAACAAAATGCTATTGGCTGTTTTTAAATAAGAGGAGGAGCTACTTTATATCCCTCCCTCCCTTCATGTTTCAAATGCACTTCACAGGGCCTTTAATTTTACTGTTCATATTCTGCAGTGTTGGGTAGTAGCTAGCTACAAGTAACTTAGCTACTAGCTTAGCTACATTTTTCAGTAGCTTGACATTAGCTCAGTAGCTCTTATGATACAGTCAACTTTTTCCAGTAGCTAGCCCCTTTTCCAGCAAGTAGCAGAGTAGTTTGACAACAGCTCTACTTTTCATTTTGTGAACCTGCAATGGTCTGAAGCAGCACAGCATTGTCTTACAAGTTCACATAAGTTTTCTAATAGTTGGTTTTTAACATGAAATAAGAATGTTCTTGGCGAAATGTGTAATATGCCACTTTTTTCTTTACAAAATGCTACCGTGCACTTAATCAAAGACATTTATTCTATTATTCCAATGCTTATGAAGTACACTTTTGTACTTTGACTCTGGACAGTCTGACAAATGTTTAAAACTTGAGTGTAAAGCATTAAGTTTTAACAATATAATTGTATCATAGATACTGTTTTAAGTATAAAATATTTTACTTAAAAGTAATGTTTATACATATTATGGATGCTCCGGTCAGGATTTCATGGTGAGGTCAAGAGGTCATGGTGATTGGCCAATACAGAGTACCCATTCTGATGCTTTAATCTTTTTAATGCATAAAGCACATGTCCCCTCCAAGTAAGTGGAAATCTCTCCTTACCTAAGAGAATAAATCAGGATGTTCCATAAAATCCCTTAAAAATGTCTTTTATAACTGTTTTGCGTGGACATGTCATGGTCAGAAGCAGCTTTATTACCAGATAAAATAGTCAAAAACACAGAACTTACAGTTTTTATACACTGTAAAACCCAACAGTGAACTTTATCAAATGAAATGAGTGTAGTTACTCAAAATTGACTGAAAGTTCTACTCATTTGAAAATAGGTTTGAACTCAGTGTTTAACTCATTAATTAAATTCCTCATAACTTCAACTTAAATGGAGTAAGTTCACAGTACATGTAACATGGTTTGTAGCAATCGGTTGCCTTAACTTATTGGGTTTTACAGTACTCAGTTGGTTTGAGTTCTCTTTATTTATGGGGTTTTACTGTGCTCACATTGCTACGTTTACTCAAATGGATTAAGTTCACAGTACTCATTTGGATTAGTTTTTTAACTTAACCGGTTTGTTGCAATCAGTGTCTTCAAATGGTTTCACCTTAACTTTTTGGGTTTTACAGTGTACATGTAAAAAGGCCTAAATGCATGCAAGGCCATTCCAATATTTTGCTCTCCAACTAGCACGTCTGTGACAGCAGCTCCTATGCTCTAGACAGCCTTAGAGCAACTCGATCACTCAATGGGAGAGACAGGGATGTGTACTCGAGATGTCTCTATTGTGCTATTTTTCTAACCTAACAAATTTAAAGCTTAATAAATCACAGTGACACTCACAATCTGTTCTTTTGCTAATTTACTCTCATCTCCATGATTTCCAGGTTGTTTTATCTAATATATAACACCTGCGACCGGTTCATGAGATCGGCCAGATTGGCGAGTTCTGATCGAATCATAAAATGTGATTATCGGCCGATACCGATCTTCAGCCAATCTATCAGAGTATTCCTAATACATATTTTTGTTAAACACATCTTTGCAAATGAAGCAGCTTCAATTTAACCAGCTACATTTACATTTAGTCATTTAGCAGTTGCTTTTGTCCAAAGCTATTTAGGAGACATTCAGCGATTTAACAAGAAAAGGCAATACACCCAAAAAGTGCTGTACAAAGAAACTAGTTTGTGCTCAGAGAACTTAGTGCTAGTGTTTCTACAGGTGGTTTGTCAAGCCTACTCGCCTGTGTGAAGTACACTTTATAAATGCATAGTGTTTGTGTCGCTTAATGTGTCAATGAGGGGAATGTTTTCTACAGGTGGTTTGTTAAGCCCACCTACAGCTACTTTTAGGAATTAACTAGTAGTGTAGCTAGCAACTTTTTTCGAAGTGACAGTAGCTTAGCTAGCTTTCATGATGAGCTGCTTGTAGCTTATCAAGCTACAATTTCAGCTTCCTCAACACTGAACTTCTGTTCCAGTCAGGACTGATTTGCTAGTTCATGTTCCTCATCTTCACTACTGCTGGATTCCCCAAACAGGTCTTTTCCACAAGCAGTGCTGGATTTAGTGTGTGCGTTTTGTTGGCTGACCAGCATGGTGATGAGAGTTGACATGTCACTAAAGCCTAAAAGCAACGTGCCATTGCTTGGTCCAAGTAGAGAGATGCTCTGGATCTTAGAGTCAGGTGTGAAGACTGACAGCAACGTCCCATTGTCCAGGTCCCACATGCTCACTGCGCCTGTTCAAAACATTGAAATCTGCATTCAGTAAGGCATTCCTTCAAATGTTGCATGTTATTTTTGACCTGGATTGCACTGATAGCATCTAGAGCAAGATGACACAAGTATGAACAAAGGTCTTTTGTACCTGATAACAAAATGGCTCTGGATTGTCCTTCAGTGATAAAGAGCTGGCTGGACCAGTTAAGATTTAAACTCCCGTAACCAGAGATGTTTTTATGCTTCCTCCGGAATGGATCCCATACTTTCAGCCTGAGTTTTTAGCACACGGGAAAAAAAACAATTTTAAGAGTGATTCGTGCATTACTAGTTGTCGTATATTCTTTTTTTTTTTGTTGTTGGAATAATTAAGATTTTATTTATTTATTTATTTATTAAATTAAAAAATCTCAGGTTCTTCAATACAATAAAAATAGTTATAGTAATGTAAAATATTATTAGTGTTCAAAACAATTTTGGATTTTATTGCATTTAAAAATGAATTTACAGCATTATTACTCCAGTTTTCAGTCTTGCATGATCATTCAGAAATCTTTTTAATAGGCTGATTTTGGTGCTCAAGAAATATTTTGTCTTAATACAGTTGTAGTAATTGTAATTCCCAATTTTTGACAAGTAAAATAATAAATAAGTAGAAAGTGTCAATAAATGCAGTTAAATGTTAAGAAACAATAAATTCAACATTTGAAACATCTTATGAATTATTATTAGCATCAATCATAATTTAATACAACAACAACTGACATTTTACAATCATTTTTGAAGGATTATGTGACAATAGATTGGAGTAATGGAGTAATTGGCATTGAAGTATTAAATTACATTTTCATTCATTCATTTTCCTTAGGCTTGGCCCCTTTATTCATCAGGGGTCGCCACAGCGGAATGAACCACTAACTTTTCCAGCATATGTTTTACGCAGCGGATGCCGTTTCAGCTGCAACCCAGTATTAGGAAACATCCATACACACTCATTCACACACATACACTACGGCCAATTTAGCTTATTCAATTCACCTATAGCGCATACCTTTGGACTGTGGGGGAAACCGGAGCACCTGGAGGAATCCCACATGAACACAGGGAGAACATGCAAACTCCACACAGAAATGCCAACTAGCTCAGCTGGGACTTGAACCAGAGACCTTGTTGCTTTGAGGCAACAGTGCTACCCCTTGGGCCCCTTTGCCTCCCTGATATACATTTTGAATTCATTAAACTAGAACATGTATAATAACATTTCACCATATTACTTTATTTATATTAATTATAGACTTGATCAACATGAGAAACTTCTTTCAAAAACATTTTACAAATCTAAATTATTCCCAACATTCGATGGCAGTTTAAATTATTTAAAAATCTCTAAAGATGTACAATATTGTTGCCACATACTTGTTGAATCCTGCAATCCCGAACACCACTCTGCAGGCATCGTCACTTACAGCAATGCAACAGATTCCAGGTTCATTTTTCAATCTCTTCCGCACCTGCCCGATCCAAAGAATATTCCACTTACACACTACGCAGAGAAGAAGATGCATTTCACCTTAGAGCAATGGTCTCAAACTCAATTCCTGGAGGGCTCTGCATAGTTTACCTCCAACCACCTCCAACTCACACCTGCTTAATAGTTTCTAGTAGTCTGGAACAGCTTGATTAGTTGGATCAGCTGTGTTTGATTGGAGTTGCAGCAAAACTGTGCATAGCTGCGGCCTTCCAGGAATTGAGTTTGAGACCTATATCTTAGAGCAAGTGTAACCCTGCTCCTGGAGATCTACCTTCCTGCTGAGTTCAGCTCCAACCCTGATCAAACACACCTAAACCAGTTAATCGAGACCTGAACAGCACTGGATAATTACAGGCAGGTGTGTTTAATATGGGTTGCAACTGAAATCTGCAGGATGGTAGATCTCCAGAAACAGGGTTGGTCACCCCTGCCTTTGAGCTTAGTTAGCAATGTGCCCATTTTGTTTGTATTTAAAACTACATGACTCGTTATTGAACAGATCAGCCTGTGATGATTGGCGTACCATGCCCCGTTGTGTGTCCCAGAGGGTGAGGAATGGAGCATGCTGGGCCTCACTGTAGTTGGAAACCACCAAGTGCTCTCCATTATGAGTGATTGCAGCAGTACGGAGGCTCAGAAGGGACCATCGGTCCTCAAGTGTGTGCAGATGCTCCTCAGAAATCACACTGAAGACATTAAGATGATGGGCAAAGTATGAACATACGACCACCTGAAGTGATACACAAAGAAAACATCAATTCAAAAATGATCTTTACATCCGTAACAAACTTGATTGCTTTGCTGTTTTCTCCTCTTTGTTTAGTGTGTAAGATCAGTTTCCTATAAAAGATTTTTATTTCACTTAAGAGAATGGCTCTAGGCCTACCTTAGAGTAAATGCATCCATCCTTTTTAATCAACCCAGGCTCATTACGGATATGTACCCTGGTCTACATTTCTGGGCACAGCGAAATACATAACTGGTCTGCTCACAGCTTTTATTTTTGTAAACCCACCGGAGGCAGCTGTGTATGCTTTTTGGTGATCTCAACTTTCTCTAATGTGTCCTCTTCTCGTATAAATCCACCAGAGGGCGCAATATACACTTTAGTTGACCAGGCCAGCTTGCTGTCGACTGACTGACTGACCCACCCACCCCCTCAAACGATGTCGTTGCAGTCAACTCCACTCTGTGTCCCAAGTCCATGTGCATACTATGAGCTACTAGGCAAACTGGTAACACTGGAAAATCCGTCTGTACAAAGGTAAGTGGTCTTCTGGTAGTGCTTATAGTAACAGAAGCAATCGACAACGTCATACTGCCATAGCGTTTATTTTAAAGACAAAATGCAGCCATACATACCTCTGGCTACATAATTTGCACTCTCCAAAAATGTAGACAGGGGTACGTATCCACAATGAGCCTGTGTTGTTTTTAATTTTTCTCCAAATGTCTATGTAACATTTTGACATATTATCTGTATGTCTTTGGAAAACAAAAAGATGAAGCTTACTAAATTAGCATGATGTTGCCAAGTCATTTGAGAAAGAGTTAAGATAAAAAAACTGAACGTTTGAGTTTAGTTTTAATTTCCCTGCTTGATCATTTTAACATTGACTCATATGGTAAAACTCATGCTATTAATAACTGTTTACAGTTGCTTTATAAGTCTTTAAAGCTAAATACCGGCTACTATGGTAAAGATGCATTTCTTACACAAGATTGAGGTTTTTGGCCAAGCAGAGCACTATAGTTTTTTCAGAAGGAGGGGCTTGCGGAAACTTGAACTGGATCAGAGTGTTTCAGACAGGCTGAGAATAGAGGTGTTGCAACAAGTTGAAGTCCGCATGAACTGAAAGCTGTGACAGTTTTTTTTTTTTTTTTTTTGCATTGTGACTCAGTTTCTAGAGAAACAGAATATTAAATGACAAAACAGTGGGCGTGGCTTGTTTTTTTTCTACTGCGAGCTGATTGGATGTAGTAAAGTTGGCATTGCAACCGGTCTTTTTTTGCAACCGGTATGCGTAATTGAACCAGTGTGACGTAGGCTGGTAATTCCCCTATTGGGCGTGGTTAACATTTAACCACGCTCCTCCAACGGCCCGTTTTTACAGTGCTATGACAACAAACAGAAATGGCGAGGAGTTTGTTTATGTTAGGTTCTAATAACGCTTCTAAAATCTTTTTCCCCATATTTCCCAACTTTACTACATCCAATCAGCTCACAGTAAAAAAAACAAAAAAAAAAACAAGCCACACCCACTGATTTCTCATTTAATAGTCACTATGCAAAAAAATACAAAAAAGCTGTCGCAGCTTCCGGTTCATGCATTTTTGTTATCATGTGGACAGAGATTTTTTTTAAAGAAAGCGAGGAAAACTGTTTATAAAAATACCTGTGTATGTGTGGATATGGTCTTAGAGCATGTTCATTGTTAGCGACTAGGGATGCTCCGATCAGGATTTTTGCAGCTGATACTGAGTGCCGATTCCTTGTCATGTGATCGGCCTATACAGAGTACCAATTCTGATGCTTCAATCTTTATAATGCATAAAAGTTTATTTTCCCTATAATATATACTTACGTTTTTTTTTCTCCTTATCTAAGAGAATAAATTAAGGATGCAGCATATAATCCCTTAAAAATGGATATTATAACTATTTTGTGTGGACATGTCATAATGGTCAGGAGTTTTACAGAAAATAATAGATAAAACAGAGTAAAAAAATCAGTAAGCAATGATTAACAATGCAATTTAGAAACATTTCAAAAGATGGAAGAAGAATTCAACATGTCTTGTTGAAGAAAAAGTTTGGAGAGCATAATTGATGCATAAGAAGATAACCAATCTAATGCTTAGAATATCAGGCTTGGAGTGTCTCTCAATCTGTTCTCTATTCACTCACTCTCGTCACCTCTTCCTCTGCTTGCAAACTCCATAAATAAAAACCTGTGATCGGTTCATGAGTTCAGCCAGATTGGCAAGTGCCAATTGAGTCATGGAATGTGATTATCGACCGAAACCGATCTCCGGCTGATCGATTGAAGCATCACTATTGATCAGATAAAACATAAAATATTGGCCAAATAACTAATTGATTATTTCTGCCATGAGAGTGTTATTTGTTAATGCTGGAACATTTAGTGTATTTGTCAACTGACAGTATTGATCAATGTACCTGCTCATCTCCACTGAGAAGATACTGGTCTATAGAGTTGAACTTCTCTCTTTCGAAGCGCTTCTGTTCATCTTTCTTTCTCTTCGCCTCACGCTCTTGTCGAATCCTTTTTGCATTCTGGGTTTCGGTGCGCCTGTCCCATGGCATCACTAGACCTGAGCAACAAGTAAAAGTAATAGTAGAAATACAATCAAATGTGTCTGCTTAAAATGCCAAAAAGAAAAAGCGCAGTATTTGTACACGGCAATTTACTAGTTTGTAATACAGCTATGGAAAACACTTAGACACCAGTTGAAAATTTAATTTATCTCTGGATTCATTATTAATAGTTCTGTTTTCAAGTAAAATATAATTATAGCTTTATTGTGACTACTGATGACATTTCTTCTTGATTCAAAATAAAAATGTAATTCAACTTTAACAAGAAAGCAGCAATTGAAGCCTAAAAAGAAACAGCCCAGTTTATTTCTTTTTCTTTTCATTTATTTATTTTTTCTCCATTTTTCTTGAATTTATTTCTCTTTTCAATTTCCTTTACCTCATATACTGCATTTCAAGAGTTCCCACTTAGATATGCTTGGCACTTACAGCAGGTTTGGCATGCTGTCCCGGGAGAGAACCCTGAGCTCGGAGATATTTGAGCCCAGGGCTCCCGCCCGGTCTAGAAGCATATCAGGAGAACCGAGATCAGGTAGGTCTCGATCGCTCCCCCTTTAGTAGGGGAGAAAAAGGAGGAGATGGGGTGGAAGGGGGGATTCTTCCAAAATGAAGATGGGGAGAAAGTGATCCATTTATACTAAGCTAGGATCATTCTGATTGGATTATTACTGATTACGGATGAGTGGCCAGCGGTGCACAATCATATCACGTGCTCCTCTCGAAATTAGTTTATGAAACTTCACATGTTGTTAAAAACTGCTGTAAAAAAAAGCGTATACACATAAAAGATAGTATCAGAATTTTTGTGCCAATGTAAAGAATGAAATATAGGAATAACATAATATAGCAAACATGAATTTCAAAACTAGAATAAAAAAAAACAAGAATAATATTTGGTTTATTCTTTAAACTACTGACATTTCTTCCATATTTAAATTATATTTATTTATTTATTTATTTATTTATTTATTATATTTTACACTTCTCAAGGAATACTTTTAGCCACATACTTAGGCCTGTCAGGGTAAAGAATTTTTGTTGTGCAAAATATTGTCACAGAAATTGTTGTGATAAGTCATATTTTTGTCATTTGAGATCATCATATGACAATGATTATACAATACTATAATCATTTAAATACCCTTAAAGACTTTCAAGAGACAACAAACTTTTCATCCCCAAGGTTATTTAGATTTGGTAATCTGATATTAAAACAGTAAATGTCTTATTATATATCCTACTAAATGTCCTATTAAATAAATGCTGAATTATAATGTCCTTGTAAAATGACTTTACTGTTATTTGTGATTTTGTAAATATATATTGAATTACCAAAAATTGTTTAGGTCATGTGCAAGCATTGCTCAATAAGTCAATATATTGATTATTGTAACACACTTGCATATACTTGTACTTTTAAAGAGTACATTTACACCCAAAATCTATACTTTGCGATTTTTATTTTTATTTTTTTATGACATTTTATACTCCTGTGTTTATGTACAGTTTTAATACCTGTCTTCTCCTTTGAGGGCATAATATGTGAATCCGTGTCCATGCTGAGGAGCAGGCTTTCTTTGTAGGACGTCTTAATACGTCCTTTAATATAGCCAGAGTCCAGATCCCACAATATCAGATGATCCCTGCACACCACATATCCATGCAGCCTCGTGATTATTACTCAAACTAGACTAAGCAATATTGTAATTTTCTGTTTCTATCGAATGAGGAAGTAACAAAATGATGTAGTTCTTACCGTGTTTCTGAAAGGCCCAGCAGTATTTCACCCTCCAGGAGATGATAGTCCTGCTGAGGACAGGGCACAATGAACAGTCCAGTTTGTTTCTTGATGTAGCTCTTTTTCAGAAGGTCATACACCAACAGGGTCTGCAAAAAATAGGAAGTGTAACAGGAAACGGTTTGTAGACAGTAAAATATTTGAGTAATTGTACCCAAAAATGACAATTCTGTGCTAATTTTGTCAGCTTCACATAATTCCAAACCCATATGACTTAACTTCTTCTGCTGAATATAAAAAAGATAGTTTGAGAAATGTATTTTGTCAAAATATACAGTATTTTTAGTGAAGTTTAATATATTAAACTAATTTCGTACGTGCTCATGATTGACCCAGCTGGCTCATATTAGCTTATCAGGATTCTCCAATCAAAGGATCCTAAGTTTCTATATATATATCTTCTTTTTCTCTCTACAACTATCTTCGTCTTGAATAAGCCCCCCTCCCCCCTTCTTCCACCTTTATCCAGAACGTGGGTTTCTAAATATGCTCTACATTATAGACCAAATAAACCTATGTCTCTTTTACTAGACGTCTCGCTCTCAGGAAGTTCGCCTTGGCCTTAGCTTCGGGGAAGTTTTGAAATCGCCCTGAGCTCAATCTCCCCTCGCCCTGCAAAGGGAGGGAGCCCTGGACTCGAGGATCCCTTGAGCTCAGGGCTCTCTCCCGGGACGGCATGCCAAACAAGCTGTTTTAAGTCATGAGTTAAGTATAAACTCTTAAATAATTGTTTGGCTGCCTGCTTTTTTATTGCCAAACTTGTACAATAACAGGTAAATAAGACAATTATATCTCTTAAGTGTAAATATAACATGCAGAGGAAAATAAATTATAACAATGACAAAGAAAATAAAGCATAATGCTTGGTTGTCATAATGCTTTTCTTGTTTTTAGTAAATTTAAGAGAGGAAACAAATTGAGAATAACAAAGGAGATTTAAGCCATTTCTGCTTATGAATAAAAAAAATGCATTCAATATAAAAAGTGTAACAATATATTCAAAAGATAAGAACTTAGCAAATGCTTTGATTTTCTTTTTACAAGTGTTGTCAATTTCCTGTAGAATCAACAGTAATTTACTGCCAGCAGTTCGCCAGAAACAGCAAATCAATAACAGCAAAAATACCGTATTGACATCCACAGCACCATTTATCTTGCTGTATATCTATTGACAGTATTGCGTATCTTTACTATAAACTATGCTGTCATTTTCACAATGCAACATTAGAATACAGTAACATACCGCATATTGTAACTGTCCTACCATAAAATACAGTTAAATTACAGTTAAATACTGTGTCATTTACAAAATTCATTAACAGTGTGGAAGTGAATGATGATTCAATGATTTGGCTCACTAACTTTAATCAAAAACATATTTTAGTTGATGCAAAAAATGTGATTTTGTGCAAAAAAAAAGGAAATTAATGGCCAAAATTTTTTTTGAAAGCATTATTTTTCAAAATATAAAGTCAATATTTTAAGAAATATTCTTTGTGTTTTTGTCTAAAAAGAAATGAATGGCAAACGAAAGTGTACACACACTACATGAAAACACAAAGTTTTTCTAGGGGGTGAAACAGTGGCTCAGTGAATAGCAGTGCCGTCTCACAGCAAGAAGGTTGCTGGTTCGAGTCCTGGCTGAGTCAGTTGGCATTTCTGTGTGGAGTTTGCATGTTCTCCCCGTGTTCGCGTGGGTTTCCTCTGGGTGCTCCAGTTTCCCTTGCGAGTTCAAAGTCATGCACTATACTGTAGGTGAATTGAATAAACTAAACTGACTATAGTGTATGTGTGTGAATGAGTGTGTATGGATGTTTCCAGTGCTTAATTTGTGAATTGCGAGATCCCGCAACTGATCGGGGTAACGGACCTGGCATGTTACCCGAGGATGGAGAGGTGAATGAGAGTGTATGGGTGTTGACTAAATAGATGACTAAATCCCTTTTCAGACAACACAATTGTTATTCTTTGTTATGACAGTCAGTTAATCAGATTTTGACTAGATTAAATCTTGACATAACATGGGTACAAAATATACAAAAATAACTTTATGATTAATCATTGCATGACATCTATGATGCGCATGCTGTCGTCAAGTATTCTAACACTAACATTGCTTCAAATTAAAACTTTCTGTAGACTACAGGTTACTTTAAAAAATACATTCATATGAAAAGTCATGCATCGCCACAAATAATGGGAAACACTGTGTCACTATTGAATATAAGGAGTGGTTTTGCTAATTCAAGTACTCATCAGGCTGCTGAAGACCTCGTCCAACAATTGCACACATTTATCTTTTTGTTTTCCCTCAATGACACATACATGCTAGACTTTCTGTGTTGATTTTGTGAAGCATTGGTTGTCCACGGCGTCTTAAAAAGTTTAAATTATCAAAAACTGAATTTAGAATTTTGGTAGTAAATGTTGAATTTTGATGATAATAATTATAATTATAACAAAAGTCTTAAATTTACTGCAGTATTGTCTTGTATGTCTTATTTAATATACATACAAAATACACTTATGATAGTTTAAAAATAAAAAAAAGATTTAATATTGTTTTAAAGAAATATTACGTTGAAAAAAAAAATTGCATATATACAACTAAAGCTAGCTTGTTTTGACAAATATTTAAGTTTTTGCTAATAATTAACTAAAATATTTTTTATTAATGTATTATTATTGTATTATTTAATTTATTATTCATTCATTCATTTTCCTTTGGCTTAGTTCCTTCATTCATGGGGGATCAACACAGCGGAACGAACGGCAAACTATTTCAGCAAATGTTTTAGATGCCCTTCCAGCTGCAACCCAACACCCTGGGAAACACCTATACACTCTCAATACACACATACACTACGGCCAATTTAGTTCATTCGCCTTCTGCATGTCTTTGGACTGTGGGGGTAACCGGAGCAAGCGTAGGAAACCCACATACACACACATGGAGAACATGCAAACTCCACACAGACTGACCCAGCCAAGAAAACCAATGACCTTTTTGCTGTGAGGCAACAGTGCTAACCACTCAGCCTTAAATTTATTATTTTATAAATCATTTTTTGATAGGACAAATTAAAATCTTTTTCATTTGGGCTATTTGGAAAAACTCCTTAGCATTTGCCCTGTATGAGTCTAAACTTTCATTCATAATTCTCTTAAAGATGTCTTAAAGTCTTACATTTTAACTCAATGAAACCTGCAGAATCCCTGCTCGTGCACTATGACACACTACACAAGAAAAATCTTGTTTCTCGACGGTCAATTGTTGTTTACGTTCAAATCCTACATAAAGTAAATTGTGCAAAGCTTTAAACAGTTTTGTGTATTCTGAACATGGCTTTAATGTTCTTTTTGTGTAAACTATATCTTTAATCGAGTAGCTTAGCATATAAGTCCGAATATTTGTGTAATAGTACATCACATGACAAGAAATATACTCCGTACCTTTGTAAAATGTGATGTGTAGCACAGAAGTACCTGGTAAACAGCTGCGTCAGTAAAGTTGGAGGTAGTTAGGTCTGACAGTATGTAGATTTTCAGGTCTCGTATTAGAGCAATGTCTGAACTTGAGAACAGGCCATGCTCCACCTGTACAGGACGACCCTTCAGTCGCACCCGAGCCACATTCCAGATCCTCACTGTACCGGGACGTGTACTTCGACACACTACATACCTGATTCAGAGGAGAGCTTTACTTCAAACATATGACTTATAAAGACTTTTTTCAATTGTATTTTATTAAATGTGTATAAAACTAGTCAATGATGTAAGATGTATTGCCATTGCCAATGAAACTGCTATTTATTTGTGTTATATGGGATTATCATTTAATAATACTTTGTTGCATATCTGTCAACCTTTCAATCAAAAAACAGCTTAGATTTTATATTGATAAAAATAGTTAAATGTGTACAATTTTAAAAAATTATAAATATTTTTTAATAAATGTATTAAATTTTGAAATAGTTAAAAATAAATATTAACTATTATTTAAAAAACAGAAAAACAGAAATTTGTATCACAAAGTAAATTAAAACAGCCCATATTTATTTTATAAAAAGTCACGATTAGCAGAATTATACAAGAGAAATGACAGAAAATGTCTTAAAGGGATAGTTCACCCCAAAATTAAATTTTTATCATAATTTACTCTTTGCTTGTTCAAAACCTTTCTGAGTTTATTCCGTTGAACACAAAAGAAGGTATTTTGAAAAATGCTGACTTGCACAGTAATTTTTTTCCTACTATGGAAGTCAATGGTTCCCAACAACCAGCATTCTTCAAAATATCTTATGTGTTTAACAGAAGAAAGAATCTCATAAAGCTTTAAAACCACATGAAAGACAATAAACAATTATCCAATTTTCATTTTTGGGTGAACTATCCCTTTAAGATTGGCTTGGATAGACCTTCAATTAAAAAAATAAGAACCACTGAACTACACTGCATTAATATTACCTAAAACATTTCATAGTACACCCTGTTATGATAAAACGTCACTAAATAGTCTCTGTAACAGCAACAGAGGCCATCAAAGTTGCTTTATAGGAAAATGGCTCCAGATATGGTGATTGTGAAAAAATATCACCTACTGTCTATCTCAGTGTTTACAGAGATAAACCACATGCGAGCTGAGCAGTGGACTTTGTACCTCGGGTTTTTCTGCATGGTCACAATCTCTGCTGTGCCGTCAATGTGCACTTTGTGCACATTATATGTGAGTGTTTGGTCATTAATTCTGGATCCCAAGTTCCACATGCGTAAAAGTCGCTCCCCCACACAAAAGCCCACACAGAACCGCAGGTCAGAACACTCTCCTGTAACATGGAGAATTCAAGTGAAACATACTCTATACAGATTAATGCATTTCACTACAGTTGAAAAACAAACATAACTGAAATGATTATTTCATAGCAATAAAATGGATGGCAAAGTATAATGGTGTTTGCTGTAGCTCAGTCCTGGAGAGTCGGTGTCCTGCAGATTTTAGCTCCAACGTGCCTCAACACACCTGCATGGATGTTTCTAGAAAGCCTATAAGAGCTTGATTAGCCACCCTAGGTGTGTCTGATTAGGGTTGGAAGTAAACTTTGCAGAACACTGGCCCTCCAAGACCGAGTTTGGGCACTCCTGCTTTTAAGGTATATCATTTGTCCTAATGATGTGGTTTAACTGCATGTGAGCTGTTAGAGTAAATATATTTGAGGAGTCAATCTCCAAGAAAAAAATAATAGTTTAGTATAATAATATATATTCTGCATTTAAGTAATGAGTTCAGCCATGTGTGTATTTTTTTTTTGCCAAAAGAGTTGTGCGGTTTAGTGTTGGTGACAATAATACTGAACTTGTTTATTGACTAACCGTGTGTCATTAGGCCAGGAAAGCGTGCAATGTGTTTATGGTCTTCCGTCTCAATGTTCCAGATAATAATTTCAGTGGTGCCATGGTGAGGGGCGGGGCAGAAGGCCACAATGTGGGACCCGCCTCCTGCAACGGTGACCTGGGAAATGTAGTCCTGACTGCAACCCAAGATGGAGCGCAGATACTGGAAAGATTCAGCGCTGAAGAGTTCAATATGAATGATTTCACTTTGTCTTTTATAGGGGTATCTGTAAAAACCAAAGAGACGTATATAGTGAATTTATGTCAGCAAAAGATATTGCTGTTAATTTACCAAAGATTTTTGGCAACATTTTTCAGCAGTAAAACATTAAAGATGAATTCAAAGTACTGGTTTCAGCTAGAAATCTGTAACCCGTTCACATTAGTTTAAAATATTCCCGCTGACCCCCTAGTGTGGGATTTTTTAAAAGTGGGCATTATTTAGAATACGCCGCTTTCAAAGTTTCCATGTCGAGGTAAATTTGAGACGTGACCTCCACCCAATGATTTATTGCTTTTTTTTGTTTATTTTTTCCCATTTTCTACAAATATTGACAAACATCCTAAAATATCTGATATTTCAATTTTCAAATATGTGAAAAAACCTGTATTTGATAGTTTGAACAGCTTAATAATGATCATATTATTTGATCTATGACAGATGATGGGCACTGCCATGTTAGCCCGCGCTGCAGTGTTAAGAGCTGCTGGATTTTCAACATGTTAACTTATCAACTTCTCCCAAAACACATACACCTAAAATAACCTAAAACAAAACAAAATTTATTAGTAAACACAAAATTCTACGGTACGGTACAATAAATTCTACTGCTCTAAATTTGAATTTATACGGCTCAGTGCATCCATTGCGAGAAAGTCGATGTGAATTTAGTAACTGATCACAAATGCACTAAACATTCTGATCACACCTGATGAAACGCTCCAGGGACCAGCCTAGATTGATCACCTCAAATCAAACACTCTAGTGAGCAGCCTAGACTGATCACACCAGATCGAACACTCTAATGACCAGCCTAGACTGATCACACCAGAACGAATGCTCAAGTGAGCAGCCTAGACTGATTACACCAGATCGAACACTCTAGTGACCAGCCTAGACTGATCACACCAGATCGAACACTCTAGTGACCTGCCTAGACTGATCACACCAGATTGAACACTCTAGTGACCAGCCTAGACTGATCACATTGGAACGAATGCTCAAGTGACCAGCCTAGATTGATTACACCAGATCGAACACACTAGTGACCAGCCTAGAATGATCACACCAGATCAAAAGCTCAAGTGACCAGCCTAGACTGGTCACACCAGATTGATCACTCTAGTGACCACCCTAGACTGATCACAATAGAACGAATGCTCAAGGGACCAGACTAGACTGATCACACTGAAACGAACACTCAAGTGACTAGCCTAGACTGATCACACCAGATCGAACACTCTAGTGACCAGCCTAGACTAATCACACCAGATCGAACAATTTAGTGACCAGCCTAGACTGATCACACCTGATCAAACGCTCAAAGTTAACAGCCTAGACTGATTACACTGGAACGAATGCTCAAGTGACCAGACTAGACTAATCACACTGGATCAAACGTTCAAGTGACCAGCCTAGACTGATCACACTAGATCGAACACTGTATTGACCAGCCTAGACTGACCTCACTGTATCAAAAGCTCTAGTGACCAGCCCAGACTGATCACACTGATGTGACGGCAATGTCAAAAGGCTTGATGTTGTCATAAGGGGGAAAAACAACAACTACATGTTGGGTGAGTCAATTAACAACTATTTGTTTAGCTTTTATTTATTTTGAGCAAATTATCACTTTAAAAGTTGATGCCAATTTTCACATCTAAATGGATTATTCTTTTAGTGTTACCTGCAGAAGAGCAGTAAATACTGAGAGCTGATCTCTACAGCTTGTATTGCCCCTGCAGGGTGCTGAGCTTTCAATGTGGAAGACACAACTCCACATTTAGCATTGAACACCGCCGCCTCTCCTCCGTTCCTACAAATGAGAAACAGAGCAAGAAAGAAATATGAGAAAGCAAGACAGTAAGCCTCAGCATTTGTGGTCCGTTTATCAGTCTAGCAACACTTCAGTTTCCATAGCACCTAATCGCAACATGTAAACAAACCAGTCTGGTTGTCTTGCTTTCACTTCACTACTAGACTCGACTAGATTTTTACTAGATTTATCTGTTCTTTACCATTCAGAGGTCTCATAGATAACATAATTTAAATAACTCTACTGAATATATTTTAAATGTAATGTATTCTGTTGATTCAATAGCTGAATTTTCACTACTCCTGTCTTTAAATGACACCTTTCCTGCTCTTTTAGGATCAGTTATTACTGGTTTTAAATCATTATTAATGTTTCTTAACTGAATTGCATTATGCCATGTTCAAAAAAGAATAAAGCTGAATTATGCTACAACAACTAAAACATTTGTTCAGATGATCAGAATCAAAGTTAAAAGTCCCTTATCTTCCCACTTTTGCACCTTAGGAGAACATACAATTGCAAACTTTCCCAATTCTTTCACTTATCACTACTTCTGGTGTTCAGTAATTTGGGCATCTCTTCCGCAGGTCACGTTTCTGAACCTAAAAGGAGTAGCTGAGGTCTAATTTAGACAGGGTGCTTGAATATTCTCATGACGTCTGCAGCTTCAAATCTGCTGAAGTATAAAACCCCATTTTGCAGTTTTCAGATTTGGAGGAAGTTTTGATGAGAGTGTGTTTCCACAGTATAATGAACTCTTTCATCCAGTGTCTGATTCCTCATAATATGACTTTTTGGAAGATTTTTTGGCCCCTTTACAGCAGAGTAGAGAGGAAATGGGAAATTGCCAGCATTACAATAGACTGAGTTTTAGAAATACAGAGGTCAACATACGGAGTTAAGAAAGGCATTCGGGGACATAAATCCCGCCTTCTTTGATCTTATTGGCTGCCTCAGTTATTTTGACAGATATAAGCACTTTGCCCATTGTTCAGCTCTGATAGGAAAGTTAGTTCTTGGAGAGGTACAATGTTAATATTAGGCTATTATTTTACAACTAATTAAAGTTTCATTATTTTAGATATAGCCATGATAAAACTATTTTAAAAATGCCTTTTTTTTTTTTTTTTAGCTTATATACATTTTCTCCTGATTTGGTAAATGTTAACTCATACATTCTGTAAAAAAAAAAGTTTTTTATGTCAGATGTAAACTCCAAACTGGGGATGAAATCAGATTTGAGTGTTTACATCTTGCAATTTTGACTTCTTTTTCTCAGAATTGTGTCTGTTTTGCGCGATTGTTTTTTACAATTTTAACTTTTATTCTCACAATTCAGAGAAAATTATTTTTTTAGATATAAACTCTGAAATGCAATGCATAAAATCCCAATTTATCTAAAAAATAAATTGAATTAAAATAAAATAAAATGTAATTTTGGAATTACAAAATAAAAAAGTAACATTTTGTCTTACAATTGTGCATTTGTACACTCAAAAATTATGTTTGTTGCTTGTTTAAACTGCTTGTTTAAAATTAGCTGAAACAACACAATTATTGAGATATTGACAACTTAATTGATTTATGTTCATTCCACTTAAATTTGTTAAGTTAACTTAATCGATTTGTGTTAGGACAACATGAATGAACTGAGTGGAACTCTGCATTTTTTTACAGTGTATCTTGCAATTCAGACTTTTGTTCTTAAAATGATGCTACCATTGACTTTCTTTAGAAGTTTTTAAATATTTCGATATCAGAATACTGACCTTTTTCCTCATAATTCAGAGAAAAAAAAGTTAATTTTGTCAAATATAAACAAAAATATAATGCAAGAACTCAATTCTGACTTGTTTTTTCTATTATTAGTTTAAGTCTGCATGGTAGGGGACGAGATATTTTTTCTGTGGATCATTCCCTCATAGCAAACTAACGCTGAGAGTGGTGTAACACAGGGCTCATTCAGTAATAGCACAGCTAAACAGATGTGTTTTTTTAGTCTTGTTGGAGCACATCTGATCATTTCTGGAAGCTGATTCCAGCAGTAGGGGGTGCAGTAGCTGAAGGCGTATTCAGCCTGCTTTGACAACTATTGAAATTTCTAGTTTATATGATCCTAAAGATCTGATGGATCTGTTATGTTTGTATTCAGTCATCATATCTGTAAAGTATTGAGGTCATTGGGGCCATTTAGTGATTTATAGACAAGTAATAACACTTTAAAATCTATTCTGAATGTAACTGGGAGCCAGTGTAGAGACCTGAGGACAGGCAGATGTGCTCTGAATTTCTGCTTCTGGTCAGAATCCTGGCAGCAGCGTTCTGCATGAGCTGCAACTGTTTGACTGTCTTTTTGGGAAGGCCAGTGAGGAGGCCGTTACAGTAATCCATCCTGCTGCTGATAAAAGCATGAACAAGTTTCTTTAAGTACTCACTGGAAACAAAGCATCTGATTCTTGCAATGTTTTTGAGATGATAGTATGCTGATTTACTTACTGCTTTGACATGACTATTGAAACACAGATCTGACTCCAGAGTCACACCAAGATTCTTGTTGTTTGACCCTTTGAGCCACTGTACGCATTCACCTTAAGAACCTCATCTCTGTTCCCAAATGCAATGACTTCAGTTTTCTCTTTGTTTAACTGAAGAAAGTTTGGGCGCATTCAACTGTTCATTTCATCAATGCATTGGCAGAGAGTGTCAATGGGGCCTAAAGTCATTAGGCAGTAAGGCTAGGAAGATCTGAGTGTCATCAGCATAGCTGTGGTTGGAGATTTAATTATTTCTCATTATTTGGCTCGGTGGGACCATATAAATGTTTAACAGAAGAGGTGCCAGAATTGACCTTGTGGGACTTATTCTATTAGTAGAATATTGTGGCTGAAGCCTTCACACTGATGTAAACGGAAAAGAACTGCCACTCCAAATGCACCAACAAATGGTCAGAATTTGATTAAAGATTACCAAAACAAAACAATTCAGGGGATTAACTTAAGAACTAAAAATGTGTGCTAATAAACATAGTAAATTTTGATTTATTTTATTTTATTGACTTCAAAATCTTGCTATTCTGATGCTTATTTTTGTTTAGATTTGCAAGTTTTCGCTCTCCAGTTTTTCTCATAAGTCTGATTATTTCTCACAATTTTGAATGCCAGTATATGAAGATATGACATGAACTTTGAATTGTGGATAAAAAAGTACTTTTAAGTCATTTCTTGCAATTCATGCAAAGCTATAAATCCTTCACTTTTTATAGAAGGCTGAATTGTGAGAAATAAACCTTCAAATGTGAAAAAAACGTCAAAATTGTGAGAGAAGTCTTTTATTTTTATTCTACATCCGAGACACAAGAAGAGACACTTTTGTTCCTTAAATGAATGCCTTATGGCTTTGACAGCTAATTTTAATAACAGTTTCAAATTACTAGTCGACCCAGTTGGGTGTAATTGCGTACGTGTTTTAATCACATTAATAGTAAAGGTTCATTACTTCTTTCAATCGTCGCTCCTGGATAATCCTTGCATTTTAATCATGCATTGAAATACGAGATAGATAAACCGCCTTCATTCATTTTTTTAAATAGCTACAGATTTACAAAACCAACAAAGGAAACCAGTAACATAAACACACACACAAACACATACACTCGAGAAGCAGACTTTTAAATAATACATTGTGTGACCAGACAATATAAATCAGTCCAGGAACAGTGTCTTTGTTTTCACACATGGCTGGAAATTAGATATGCGCCGTATTGTTATGTCAGAGCTCATCTTGTTATTTAAGAACAAAATACTTTAATGATTAATTAATGTTGATGTGCATGCGTGTGTTATGTGCGTGGTAATGTGCTTGTAACCTGTAGGCGAAGAGAACGTAGTCTTTAGCAGGTTGACGGGAGACTACAATTGACTGGTCTTTGTGGATGGGCTCAAACTCCAGAGTGAGGTTTACACAAAAGAGCAGCGAACAAGACGACACAAGATTAAATACCTGAATGAAAATAAGAGAGACAGAAAGAGGAAGTAACAACTGAAATGATAACTGGCCATTTGTTAAGTGAAACCTTACTACTACATATGATGAAATATGCAAATGGTAGAATAATCCATTACAGTTATGGAAAAAAATGTAGACACCGCTTGGAAATTATTAGTTTCTCTGGGTGTACTATTGGTTTGCGTTAAATAATAATAATTTTATTATTATTCCACAAAGGTCTGATAAATATTTTTCAAAGTAAAAATAAATAAATCTGGTTCACATGGACTTTAACAACATATACAGTTATTAGTTGTGGATGTATGGATGCCAGTACATTATTCTGTAATTTGTTTTAAAATTTAAGGTTTTGAAAAATTGAATTTGAAAAATAAAAATAGTTTTTGCTCCAGTAGAAGTCCTCACCATACTGCAGCCTTTAAATGCTTATTATGCACATTCTTAATCTGTTCTACACCATGTCAACATACGTAGGCAAATACAGATAGATACATGTTCACCCATATATATCAAAATCCAAATAGTCTTAAAAATATATATATATATAAATAAATTGAATAGATAAAAATAAAATGGAGGGATCAAAAAAATTTTCACAATATACAACAATCTAGCCCATAAATATTGCTGGAAAACTACTAAACTACTAAACTAAACTACTAAACTACTAGAACTACTAAATCTGTCACCATGTGGACTACAAAACCTGTCATGCACCACAATCTCACACCGGTTCCGGTTTTCAGCAGCACAGACACATACACACCAGTTGCTGAGTCTTGTTTAACTGTTTTGTGACATTACAACAGGTTTCCTTTGCCTTGCCTAGACATGTTTGACCCTTGCTTTGTTCTGTTTGTTTACGTTGCTTGCTGCCTGTACTGACCATTATTTGACCACTCTTCTGGATTTGCCTGCATGTATCTGTTTGACCCTGTTGACCATTGCCTGCCTTACCGTTTGCATAATACACCTGCATTTGAATCCTCAACTTCATTGTCCCGCATTCTCACATTACAATGATTAGTTAACCCAACATCACATATTACACAAGGGATTTATACTTGGTGAAAATTTTGCTAATGTTGCTTTGGTCCAGTGTAACACAGTATTTTTTATAGACCATTTCTAACAACAACTTTTTTTTCTAGGCATATACATAAAGTGCAATCTCGCAAAATACTCACCTTAACCATATGACATCCATCATAGAAAATCACCAGCAGCCGTCCATCACATGCAGATGTGACCACAGGAACATCTAATGACTCCTCCACATATAGCACCTTCCCAGAATGCACCTCTCTGACCTGCAGACAGTAGCCCATCTGCAGCACGAGCACAGTGTCATCCAGACAAAGAGTGAGCGAGTCTGCGGCCCAGTCTACTGCGCATCCATGAGCCCTCGGTAGGGCCCCCACAGGCCTCATTTGCTCGTCCAGACGCCATAGATTCAGCTTTCCATCAGACGAGCAGGAAACAAGGTGACGTCCACCATAAGCCAGTGCGGTCACGGCACTCATATGACCTACAGTGGAGATCACAATCAGAACAAAATACAATCTCCTAAAAACATTGAGGTTAGTGCTTGGCCATATTTAAAATTCAGTTTTAAGCATATTTGATGAGTTACATATATTCTGATGCACAGTGTAATAGAATCTTATATATTATTTGTTTGAAAAGCAACATTTATCAACATCAGAAAACATATTTAGATTCTTTCCAGTAATTACCTGACAAAAATCTCCTATCCAAGTTTTAAGAACAATAAATAATAACTTGACTTCTAGTTGATCATTTGGTATCAGAAGTGGCTTGTATGAAAGGCAAAGGCCTCTAGATTACGCTTATTTAGCAAAAACAAAACATAATCATGCCTTGATTTTTAATTATTAAATTAGTACAGTAGGGTCTGACTTTGCTTAGACAAAAGTCTTGTCACTTAACAGAAATAATGTACAATATAGAATATTAAGTCATGCTGCAGTGGAAAAGGAATTAATATTGTGTATGACTCCCATGAGCATGGACGACTGCATCCATACATCTCTGCTTTAAGGAGCTTTGATGTGGAGGCTGAAGTATGAGAAGGAGCGTTATCCTGCTGAAGAATTTGTCCTTTCCTGTGGTTTGTAGTGTACTGGGCAGCACAAATGTCTTGATACCTCAGGCTGTTGATGTTGCATCCACTTTGCAGATCTCTCGCACACCCCCATGCTGAATGTAACCCCAAACCATGATTTTTTCCTTTACCAAACTTGAATGATTTCTGTGAGAATCTTGGGTCCACACGGGTTCTAATAGGTCTTCTGCAGTATTTGTGATGATTGGGATGTAGTTCAACAGATGATTCACCTAAAAAAAATCTACCTTCTGCCATTTTTCTAAATGATCAACTAAAAGTCAAGTTATTATTCATTGCTCTTACAACTGGAATCGACAACAAGAAATTCCTTAATTATCTGAAAAAAACCTTACCCTTGTGTGTTGTTGGGATGATTTTGAGTCTTAATTTGGCCACAACTTTCTGTGTTTCAGCAAGTGGAAGGATTTTTGGTGACAAATCTTGTTTTAACACATGGGTAAATGCTTTGAAAGTTTTCAAAAACTCTAAAAACACACTCTGGGCAAATTTACTATCCTTTCATCATGTTTGAGCTGTTTTTGCTTCATTGACTTCCATTATAACAACATTTTTTGATAGCCAATATATTATGTATTCTTGTTGGTGGTTTTGCCTGTTGGGAAGAGGTACAATTAGCATTTTTTACTATCGTAAAAAAAGAGCTTAATTTCTGGCCTTCATATGGAGTATAGTGAGTGTGTGGGAGAGTGTAAGAGAGAATTTTGCACACTTACCTTGATATGTTTGAGAAACTCAAAATAAGCCATTCAGCTCTCCGAACAAAGTAAACAAAGCAAGTGTTTATCTATACTATAATTTGCTGTCTTACTCTGTAGAACTCCATATAAAATCCAGAGACTTTTTGCACAGGCTATCTTTAGAGTTAATGGTGCCAGCTGATGATCAACTGTAAAAATGACAAGTGTTGCCTCTTTCCAACAGGGAAAACCACAAACAATTAAGAATGTGTCGTTACATGGTGTCATGACTTTGCAATCAAAAAAGGTCATTATAATGGGCTAAAAACAGCCACCAATATAACGAAGTCAATCTATAGTCAATTTGAACAATACACAAGGGTTAACTGGCAGTCAAATTTTCCACAAAGGTCTGACTTTGCAAGACAGAGAGCTGTTCAAAATAATTAAAAACCATCAGACACTAGATTTTCCAGATGAATACCGAAGAGACGAAGACTATTTTCAAGCACAGTTAGAAAAGTTGATCTTTCCAAATCTGTGAGTTTGAGAATATTGCACCTTCAAAAAGACTGGTCCTCCATCAAATGCAAGACAGGACAAAAATCTCCCTAATACCCTCAAATAGTGCACTGTAGTTAAAAGTGAGTCAATATGTTTAAGACTGATCTTTCAGCCATCATACAGAATCTTATTTTAGACTTTTGTCATAAATCTCTGCAGATTTTAGAGCTGCTCATTCAATTTGTAGGCCAAACAGAGAGGCTAATTCATTAAGTGCTTCATCTGAATTTTCTTATGGGTCTCCAGAGTGACCCAAACACTATTTGTTGATGACAATACTTCAGCAGAATTTACTTAAGATGTTCTGAAGCAAACTTATCACAGTTAAACCTCAAACATTAATATTAAAACCATGTGCCTTAAGATCGCTATTGACATAGCAGTTGCTATGTAAAGACTCCAACAGCTGTGCGCTCATTTCATGTGACACACCAAACCACATGAATTCACTTCCCATTTCTCAATGCAGAAAATGGGTCATGGTGTTACTGTAGGAGTATCAAGAGCAATCCAAGTGTTTAAGAATTGCAGTTCAAATAAAATAAGCAACCCCCCCTTTAAAAAACAAAAAAGGTGTCATGTGACAAGATTTGGAGATATTTCAACCGCTACAATACTTGGTTATCACATGTGCAGTAATATTCATACATCATTATATATATATATATATATATATATATATATATATATATATTAAATGTAATCAGCTTTAGGTATTAATCCTTTAAAAATACATTTTAACATTTTAAATTGTGTTTTATTTAAGTATGAAATTATATAAATATGTTTTTATTTGTATTTGTTTTTTTTAACATATTTTGGTTTCTTGCCAAAACAGTATTTGGAATTTTTATTTCATTTTATATTTATTTTGATTGATTTCTGCTTTATTTCAACACATACAATCATTTTATTATTATTATTATTATTATTATTATTATTAGTAGTAGTAGTAGTAGTAGTAGTAGTAGTAGTAGTAGTAGTTATTTATTTAAATTAAAATAACTGGCACTTAGATTGTGTTTTTTGTATATCTGTGCGTTTGTCTCTCTCATTTGGAACAAATTGCAGTATTTAGGTTGCTTTGGTATGCAAATCACCACATATTTCAGGTTAAATAAAAAAAATCCAATATAAATAATCTAAAAAGTATACTATATTCAAAAGACACCATAAATATTACAATTTGTGCATGGCAAGTTTTTTATGCATTTGTTTAATAATTTTTTACCTCTCTATTTAGATTTAGTTTCAGTTTGAACTTCTGCTCTATTTTAACATATACAACTATTATTATTATTATTATTATTAATATTAATATTATTATTAATTTAACGATAACATGTTTTTTTGTGTATTTGTCTCTCTCATTTGTAACCAGTGTTTTGCTTGCTGTTTTTTTTTTTTTGTTGCAATATTTAGGTTGCTTTGGTATACAAATCATCACACATTTCAGGTGAAAAAATATCCAATATATATAATCCAAAAAAAAAAAATTCCCAGAGATGGGTTGCGGTTGGAAGAGCATCTGCTACGTAAAAACTTGCTGGATAAGGTGGTTCATTACGCTGTGCCGGCCCCGGATTAATAAAGCCGACAAGAAAATGAATTAATAAATGAATAATCCAAAAAATACACTATACACAATACACACCATAAATATTACAATAATTTTTTTTTATAATTTACAAATTACAAATTTTTATGCATATGTTGCTATCAGCTTATTCATAATTTCTTTATACTTCCAAAATTATTCATCTACTTCACAAGCAGTATAATTCCCTTTCTCAATAGATAAACAATTAAAGAGTCTGCTCATACGAGCGGACGAATCGTTGTTATATTTACTTTGTTAAATTAACTAAGATAATCATGAATAATCATAATTAAATAATAACTTATTATTATTAATCATTGATATTCATGAAATTGAGCTAATTTAGTTGATTATAGATGTTTTTCATTTGAGTTTTAGTTTGAACTCTATTTTGTAGGTGTTGAAGTCCACATTGCGCAGAGTACCAGAATGTGAGTTTATGTGCATTTCAGCCTGTAGTTCATTACATAAGAACTGTTGTCTGAATATGGTACCTCATGAACGTACAGTTCAGGCCACAGTTCCTAATTGCTTATAAACCCCAACCACAGCTCTAATACCACTTTGGAAAATCCCAAGGATACCCATGACTCTAACATGTCAGTTATTAGAATGCAACCTGATCTGCGCTGCATGCATATGGCACTTAAAATACATGTCAGGCCTTAGATACAGATTTAGTCAAAACCAGTTTGATTGGTTATACTAGGAAACTGAGCTTAAAATGTGTACCTGACAGGAGTGTGTGCATGAGTCCACCTGGAGGAAGCAGGCAGGTGTATGAGGGCACCAGAACGGGCAGAGAAGAGCTTCTGCACTGAGCTAACAGATCATGAAGGAAGGAGAATCGTCTTGGGTCACCTGGAACAACACATACACTGAGATGTGAGTTTGACACATGTCTGCAGGTATGGGTCATTTTATGCTTGTGTGTGTACCTGAAGTTACGGGTTTGTCTTGGCAAATTATCTGCTCCAAACGACCCAGGAGCTGAGATGCCAGCTGGCATGGGTCATTCAACAGCACAGAATGAGAAAGACTCAAAACTTGAGCCAAAACAGCAACGTCCAGAAGATCTCTGTAAAACACACACAAACAAACACACACACTTGTGTATTTATATACTCTCTTACAGCTTGTTTACATTTAGGACAATAACTATAATATAAATAAACATATTTTATATGGATTCTACATTCATTCACTCATTCATTCATTTTTTTTTTGGCTTAGTCCCTTTATTAATCAGGGGTCGCCACAGCGGAATGAACCACCAACTTATCCAGCTTATGTTTTACGCAGCGGATGCCCTTCCAGCCGCAACCCATTACTAGCAAACACCCATACACTCCCAATCATACATATCCAATTCACCTATAGAGGGCGTCATGGTGGAGCAGTGGGTAGCACAATCACCTTACATCTAGAAGGCCACTGGTTCGAGTTGGCATTTCTGAGTGGAGTTTGCATGTTTTTCCCATGTTGGCGTGGGTTTTCTCCAGGTGCTCAGGTTTCCCCCACAGTCCAAAAAAATGTGCTAGGTGAACTGAATAGGCTAAATTGGCTGTAGTGTATGAGTGTGAATGAGTGTACTGTATATAGGTGTTTCCCAGTGTTGGGCTGTGGCTGGAAGGGTGCGCTGTGTAAAACATATGCTAGATAAGTTGGCGGTTCATTCTGTTGGGGCAACCTGATTAATAAAGAGACTAAGCCGAAAAGAAAACGAATGAATTTACCTATAGTGCATGTCTGTGGACTGTGGGGGAAACCGGAACACCTTGAGGAAACCCATGCAAACACAAGGAGAACATGCAAACTCCACACAGAAATGCCAACTGACTCAGCCGAGGCTTAAACCAGTGACCTTCTAGCTGTGAAGCGACAGTGCTACACACTGCACCGCCTTGGATTCTACATTATAGACAAAAACACGACAACTGTGACACTAACAACATGGCTGGAATCCCTTTAAAGCGCAGCCACATTTTTACATTTACTCACAATTTACTCAACCTCAAGTGTTTCCATGCCTTTATGAGTTTCCTTTTTTTAGATTTTACAAAACAAGTAAGTGTCAATTTTTTTAATTAAAATAAAATACCATACAAATATTTTGTATGACTCTTTGAAATTTCCCCTTTTATACTTTGATCCAAACTGTTTAGTTTTGTTGACTGTCGCTTTAAATTTAACTGAGATTTCCAAAAGAGGGCGAAGCTACAAATGCCAGTGCAACAGCTTAGGGGCAGATTCAAAACAGGACTAATGTTATCTCTGTGCAAAATTAATGATGTCAAAAAATGGCTAAATTCTCACACTGTTGCCTCTTATAAATGTGATTTTTGCCTACTAGATCACCACCTTTAGCATCAATTTTTAGTTTTTGCATGATCTTTCTATCCCATTAACCCAATAATAACCAAACAGTGATTAAACAATCATACTTATCCACAATGACAGCCGCTTTAAGGTCCTCCTGGACGTGATAGATGGACAATCCCCACAGTTTATGCAGCAGGAACTCGTAGTTAAACAGACACTCAGTGAGCAAAGGAATGATCTGCCCTGAGTGGATATAATGATACGGCAAACAGTGGAGTTTGCGCAAATTAAACACATAGCACCTTCTTCCTCTCTCCTTCCTGATCCAAGCCAACGGTTGAAAAACCTGGCTGTTCGGAGCACTCCCATTGAAATAATCAGCAAAGTCTGCATGGACAGCTTTTACAGAGTCTTCTGTTGGTGCATACCGCTGTAATACAACACAACAAAACTCCATGTGAGTCCAGCGTAAAACCCATGTGTCGTCACTTTCCACTTCTGTCATGTAATCCCTCAAACTGTACAAAAGTCCTGCCACAAATGCATAAGGCACAGGGGAATATTTAGAACCTGGAAGCGTCTGATGATGCAAACTCGCCATCTCGCGCTTCACATGACCATCGCATCCTAAAAGCACCAAAAGTTCCTCCTCAGCGATGCCAGAGCGGGACAGTGAAATGAGCAAAGCCAAACGTCGTACCAAACATGACCCATACTCTCGCTCTAAACTGACTAGGACGTTTATGAAAAGCTGATTTGGATCCTTAGGGATGTTGAGATTGTTTTCGGGTGTGAAGGAACTCCATTGTTTGCTCTCTGCATAGGCTAAATTGAGGTAGAGAGGAGAAGGGCAGGATAGGCAGGACTGGGATAAAAGCGTCCACTGGTTTTCTGTTAGCTGGCGTGAGTCTGAAGATAATCGTGATGCCAGTGCTGATGTGATCTCCTCATGGTGAAGAGCAGGTAAAGACAGGACAGAGACCTTAACCTGAGACTGAAAGAAAAAGAAGGATTCAAATTGAATATATATATATATATATATATATATATATATATATATATTCAATTTGAAACAATTTTAAAAAATAATAATTTACAGGGGGGCTAATCATTTTGACTTCACCTGTATATCAAATTGTAATAATATTTCAGGTTTAAAATAAATGCAGCTTTGGTGAGCATCAGAGACTTTTAAATGGGAGAGTAAATCATCCTCCATCATTTGCTAATGCTTACCTGTAGAAAATGAGCACATTTAGAGTGTGTGCTGGCAGAAACAACAATGAAGACATGTGGCAGAAGAATATCACTGAGCCAGGAAAGGTCAGCTTCATGTTCCTCGCTCAGATTATCCAGACCATCCAGCAGCAGGGTCAAGGGCCGCTCCTCTGTCACCAAACCCAACAATGAGCACAGATCGCTGGACAACTCTGACAGAGACTGAGGGGGAAAAAACATAGACTGCATTTCATAGTGCAACACTATCTGTCAGACAGATAAACAATCTCTCAATATCGCATATCCAGAAGGGTGTAGAAGACCTTTATGAATATTTGATGTGTCTTTTAAAGTGTTTATGTACCTCAGATATCTCTGTTTGAAGGCTGTAGATGTTGGATAACTGAAGGCACAGAGTCTGGAGGAGCAATCGCACATTTCTGCTGTCAGATGTCAGACCCACAAAACAGGCCAGCACTTTGACATCCCTAAGAAAGAGTAAACCATGATTATTACTGTTACTTATAATATTAATATTGAGTTTTTTTAAATAAGGATTGAAACTGAGCAAATCCTCAAACACTAGAATGGTTATGTAAGCCTAAAACATTGTAAAGTTTGCGGTTAAAGTTGTTTTTGGTTAATCTTTTTATAATACTTTTTATTTGCCAAGTATTCTTTAAATGATTTAATAAAATTTCATTCATGCTGCCTTTTACGAACAAATGAAGCACCTTTGAGATTTCAATTTATCAAAGAATTAGCCACTAAACGGACAAAACGTAAAAAATACTTATGTTTTCTCGTGAGATTAGGCTGTATTTACAAAAAAATCTCACAGCGAAGCAATTTATAATAAGAATACATTTATCTTAAGCATTAAATAAGCATATTAAACTCTATAACATCAGAAAGATCCGACCCTTCTTATCTGAACATACAGCTCAACTCCTTGTACAAGCTCTTGTTCTCTCCAAACTGGATTACTGCAACTCTCTACTAGCTGGGCTTCCAGCTAACTCTATCAAGCCTCTTCAACTGCTCCAGAACGCAGCAGCACGAGTGGTTTTCAATGAACCTAAACGAGCACATGTCACTCCGCTGCTAGTCCGTTTGCACTGGCTGCCAGTTGCTGCTCGCATCAAATTCAAAGCTCTGATGTTTGCCTACGAAGTGACTTCGGGCCTTGCTCCTTATCTGCTCTCACTTCTGCAGATCTATGTGCCCTCCAGAAACTTGCGTTCTGTGAATGAACGTCGGCTCGTGGTTCCATCCCAAAGAGGGAAGAAATCACTTTCGCGAACGCTCACGCTCAATCTGCCCAGTTGGTGGAATGAACTCCCTAACTGCATCAGAACAGCAGAGTCACTCGCTACTTTCAAGAAACGACTAAAAACTCAACTATTTAGTCTCCACTTCACTTCCTAATCTGCAATTGCCTCTCTGAATATCACACTAACTGTACCCAATTTTTAAAAAAAAATAAATAAAAATACTAATACTACTAATACTTTCCTTCTTAGACTTTACAGACCTGAAACTTGCCTATAGCACTTATTCATTGTTGCTCTTATAGTTGTGTAAATTGCTTCCGTGTCCTCATTTGTAAGTCGCTTTGGATAAAAGCGTCTGCTAAATGACTAAATGTAAATGTAAATGTAAACTGATTTCTGATGGATCATGTGACCATGTAGACAGAAATAAATAAAATGTATACACATATTTAAAAAATATATAAAAACCGCTATTTTACAATGTTATAATATTTAACAAAATTACAGTTTTTACTGTATTTTAATAAAATAAAGTTAGCCTTGTTGAGCTAACTAAACTGTTTTTTTTTTTCAAAATCATAATTAATTTAACCCAGGCTTATTATGGATACACACCCCTGTATACATTTTTGGAGAGTGCAAAACACGTCCTAGGAGGCATGTAGTTTTGCAGTTTTTGTTTTCACAAATCCACCACAGGTCACGGTGTTCACTTTTTCAGATCTCAATTTCCTCTCGTGAGTGCCATTCGTGCCTGCTCTTCTGACGTAAATAAACCAGAGGCTGCTGTGGACTGACTGACTGACTGACTAACCGACTGAAAGTGCACTAAAAAATCTTACTCAAGTAAAAGTACCATTACTTGCCCAAAAAATGTAGTGCAAGTAGATTAAAAGTATCTGTTGTAAATATTACTCAAAATATAGCCCTTTTAAAAGTACTCAAGTGTAGTGAGCATTACAGTGTGAAAGGATGATGCATTTACATGCAATTTGCACAGGGATGTGTAAACATAACATTCTGTAGTGCATTTAGTGATCTTCCTATGTTCGTTTCTTCCATTGTTTGTTTTGTCCTTTTTTTATTCATTCGTTCCCTCATTAATTTGTTCCTTAATTTGTTTCCTCATTCATTCGTTCCTTCATTCTTTTGTCCCTTCCTTCATTTGGTCTATTGTTTGTTCGTTTGTGTCTTCCATCCTTCGTTCCTTTATTAGTTTGTTTCTATGATTGCTTCTATCATTCGTTCAGTCCTTCCTTTGGTCCTTCTTTCCTTCTTTAGTTCGGTCGTTTCATCTATTCTTTGATTGGCCCTTTCTTCCATTCCTCATTCGTTCCATTTAGTGATTCTAGAAGATTTTTGACATCTTTTTAGACACTTTAATGCTTACAAGCGGTTAGCTGCATTTATAAAGCACCCATGTCTTGAGGTTCTTGATCCAATTTACTTCCTATGTAAGATTTGATTGGACAGGAATCACAAGACTGATTTTTCTACTTTAGCCAATCACCATAAAGAAAGAAAGAAATAAAGAAAAAAAGAAAGAAAGAAAGTAGTGACTGCAGGTTGAAGGAAAATAGTGGAGCAAAAGTACCAATACAGCACTAAAAATGTACTCAGTAAAAGTACACATTTTTGAAACTACTTGGTAAATTACAATTCCTAAGAAAAAACTATTCAGTTACAGTAATTGCAGTATTTGTAATTTGTTACTTTACACCACGATAATGTTTTCAATAGCATAGATTGACCAGCGCCCACCCACTTTCCTAAACCCAACCAATGGTGTTTTCAAAAGCACAGATTGACCGGCGCCCACCCATTTTTTAAACCCAACCGATAGTGTTTTCAAAAACCTAGATTGACCAGCGCCCACCCACTTTCCTAAACCCAACCGATAGTGTTTATAAAAGTCCAGATTGACCAGCGTCCATCCACTTTCCTAAACCCAACCAATTGTGTTTTGAAAAGCACAGATTGACCAGCGCCCACCCACTTTCCTTATCCCAACCAATAGTGTTTTCAAAAGCACAGATTGACTCGCCCACCTACTTCCCTAAACTTAACCGATAGTATTTTCAATAGCACAGATTGACCAGCGACCCACCCACAAATTGCAGCCATACAAACCTCTGGCTACGTAAATCACGCTCTCCAGAAATTTATACAGGGATACATATTTTTACAATGAGCCCCTGTTGATTAAATTTTATCAACTTCAATCTTTTGAATGGCAGTGTATTTTTAATAGTTTTGTTTGCCTACCCAGGTATCCAAGTAGGTATTAGCTGAGCCAATTTGGCAAGCGTCGTGCTTTTTCCAGACCCTGGTTCTCCAACTATCAGCAAAGCATTCAGGGACAATGATGTTGCTTCAAGTGCACTTCTTACTTCTGTTAGAAAGTTCTGCCTGAACGCAAAGCCCTGTGCTCTAATGTGGAAAAAAAGAAAGAATATTTACACTGCCTAGCCAAAAAAAAGGCACTGTTTGGATTTAAGCGAGCAAATACTTGAGAACGTCTATGGTTGGATGTTTATTGGAGTGATTAATATGTTCCTGCCTGTCTTACATTTGGCAGCAACTCTTTCAACTCTAACTGACCCATTGTGTAGCTTTTTACTCCTTCAGAAGATGTATCACCATTGGCATTTTCGAGGTTAGCAATAGCCATGTTTATCAGGCTCAAATGAACAGAAGGCTTTATTTTCACACACCTGAATTGACCACCATTTGACCTGAATGCTACTGAACGTCTTGAAATGTGCTGGAGTGATTTAGAGGGGTTTTCCTCAAGGTCATCTTAAGGCCAGGACACACCAAGCTGACAGTCAGCCTTCAGTATGTGTCTCAGTTTCCCATTGGAGAGTGTTTGCCTGATTCAGCATGAAAAATTAGCATTGGCTGTACTGTAAGTGAAAGAGAGTTCTCTGATTGGCTGTTCAGCTATGAATGCTTCAAGTGCACTTTTCACTTCCATCAAAAAGGCACTGTTTGTATTTAAGTGAGAAAATACTTGAGAAAGTCTATGGTTGTATCTTCAGTCTATGGTTGGATGTTCAGTCTATGGTTGGATGTTCAGTCTATGGTTGGCTATTCTATGATTCTATGATTGGCTGCTTGGCTACAAATCAGCAGGTGAGAACAAGAGGGAACACAAGAATTGCAACTAAATTACAGCTGCTTCTTTAAGCATTTGCAAAAAATGTAGATAATCAGGTTATCAGATATATTTGCACCAATGGCTCACTCTATACGTGAATGCTGCTTTGTTTATGGTTTGTATGCGTGCAGCACTAGTTCTGGTTTCCCTTTGTGGAATAAGAGTACAGACTAATGCCACTTAGCTAGTGTTGTCACAATATTGCAATTTTGGTACCAATCGGTACTGAAATTTTTAAATGTCCATTTTCCGCTGACATTTAATTAAATATGTTTCTAAACAGCGGCGAAGATCCGCTAATCTGTCTACGAGTTGACATATGAGTTATCCGCTGATGACCTGACTAATTTTCACAGTTTTAAAATGCTCCAGTGTCCGTGTATTGGCGTTTGCACTCAGTGAACAGAGGTGAAGAATGGTGAACTAATGACCTTCATGGCCAATCACAGTCATTTCTGTTGAGCATGTGAACACAGTGGCAAATCAGCGCTGTTTAAGAATGTGCTCAACAGTACTTAAATGTTAGCAGGAAATTGACTCTTTTTTACGATTCAGTACCGATTAGTCCCGAAATTGCAGTATTGTGACAACACGACTGCCACCTACTGGTATGGAAAGATATCCCCTCTCACGCAGGCAGAAAATGTACCATCTTGTTTCATTCGGCTGTCATCTGTTTGGTGTGTTCATGAGCACTTTTTTGGTCCAGATGGAGCCGATGTGAGGAAACAAATCAGTTTTCATCAATGCTACAGAGTGTTTTCTGGGTTTTAAGGATTTTTTTTTAGCTTTGATCATAGTGTAAATTTGTCATGGCGTTGCTTTGATAAACTCTTGTCACCTTTTCTTGTAATGACAATGGGAGCAAACCTGCTATCTGATTCTGAGGCATCCAGTTTTGACTATCTAAAAATAGTCTTCAGTCTTTAATGGACTTCAGGTCTGTCACAGGTCAGCTACAGTGTGTGTGTAAAATGAAGCCTGCTTTCACAATCTGAACCCAGTGAATTTTGGCATTGTCATTCTCGAATGTGACCACTGGATACATCCTCCAACATGTTTAAGAAGCTACACTACAAAAAAAGGTGTTTTCTTACTTAAACATGTGAATTAGAAGCAAGACAAAAACTCAACATCTAGAAGCATTTTCTAGGCAAGCAAAACATATTATCTTGTTTCCAGAAATAATGCATCAAAATTAAGTTTTTCCATAAAACATGTAAAATAATCTGCCAATGAAGTAAACAAAATAATATTGTTTTTGCTTTGAAATAAGAACATTATACGTACCACATTTGGCAGATTATTTTGCTTTTTTAAAAAAAAAACTTACTTAAATTTGACAAATATATAATTTCTGAAAACAAGACAATATTTTTGCTTGTCTACAAAATGCTTTTTGACTTGAGAATCTTTAAATATTTTGATTAGAAACAAGAAAAAGAACTCTAAGCAAGAGTTTATTTTTGCAGTGTAGGTTCTACAGTTAGAAAAACAATTGCTTGTCAAACAAAGCCAGAAACATTAATCCCTTGCAGATCTAGTTTGTTTACTTAAATCAAACAGTGACTCAGTTTTTTGGCCCAAGCAGTGCATGTTGCAATTCAAAACGAGTCAAACACAAAAGCCATTTCGCAATTCGTAACTCACAATGTTTTCCCAAATCTGACATGGCGCTGAATCTCTTCTTGAGTTTTGAGTCTGGAAACCTCTTTCCTCTGCATGTCGAAAGATCCTTTAGGCTGACGGACCTGCATGTGTCTGAAGCAACACTTTTGAGCATGGCCTGCCTGACGGACAGTGATAAAGTAAGATGACAGGAATAGAGGGATGATTGTGAGCTCTTACCTGTTGAGGGAAGCAGTGATAGTGCGCTGGAAGTGAGAGCAAAGGCGGTCCACATAAAACTGATGAGATCTGTTGTGTTTGGCACTCAGACCTTTCTTTCCCCAGCTGACGTTTGTCTCGCGGATGTTAGTGTGTCTCAACTACAAAATAATTGGCAAGATGATTACTGTACATATTAGATACAAGCCAGAATGATTATGGAGTGAGATGGATGGATGGATGGATGGATGGATGGATGGATGGATGGATGGATGGACGGACGGACGAACAGACAGACAGACAGACACATACCTTGAGGTGAATGTTGCGTATGAAGCGCTGCTGAGCTTGATGAAAGGTTTGGTTGATTTCAGGTCTTCCTTTGTGCAGGTCTATAAACTGTGACGCATGTTCGTTCTTTAGGTTGTACAGAAGGTCAGTGATGATCCTCTTGTAACAGTGGCTGAACTCCTCCGGTGGCTGCTTCCCTCCAAGACCCTGTTCCACTTCCCGGTCCAGCACTAAAACATATGCAACAACTCCATTTGCATCTGTTTTCTTTCTTTTTTAGAGATTTGCTTTTGCTTTTATGATAAGTGGACAATATACTGACAGGAAGTGGAGTGGGAGACAGAGGGGGGGTGGGATCAGGAAAGGTCCTTGGGACCGATCTTACTAAATGTCTGCGAGATATTAATATGTGGATGACCAGTAACTTTTTAAAGTTAAATCCCAGTAAAACTGAAGCCCTTCTGGTTGGCTCTAAATCTGTTCTTTCTAAAGCTCAATCCTTTACTCTAGCTATCAATAATTCTCCAGTAAATTTTACAACTCATGCCAAAAGTCTTGGTGTTATACTAGCTGGTATGCTTTTGTTTAATTCACATATTAGTAATATTTCACAATCTGCCTTTTTTCACTTGCGTAACATTGCAAGACTTCGCCCTTCACCATCCCAACAAAGTACTGAAGTGCTTGTACATATGCTTTAGTTACATCAAGGATTGATTATTGCAATTCCCTCCTATCTGGTATCCCTCTTAACCAACTTCATAGATTACAGTTAATCCAGAACTCAGCAGCGAGGGTAGTCACCCGCTCGTGTGCTTCTGAACACAAAACTCCAATTCTCTTTCACTTGCATTGGCTTCCTGTTCTTTATCGTGTACAACCTGGCACCCGTTTACCTCTCTGATTTTCTTCACTGGTACACTCCTCGGCGCTCACTGAGATCTTCTGCAACTGAACTGTTATCAGTTCCAAATTTTAGGATGAAATCTTTTAGCTGCATAGCACCACAGTTATGGAATTCCCTGCCGTTAGATATTCGTCAGGTGGACTATCTCCAATTTTTAACATGTGTTGACTATCAGAGAGTAAAAACAACATTTTTTTTCTATTTTGGACAGTTAAAAATAGTGTTTGGGACATTTCATGTGCTGCAAAACAGTTGCGGGATGACACTGTATGTCTGTAACAAAACATAAAACATTCAAAGTATTTTACTGTAATTAGCCACTTAAGAGCTACAATCTGTTATCCACGTATGTGGCCACTAAAGCGGAGGTTGGAGGTTAATTAGGCTGGCTTGTCAAAGCCAGACTACTGAAATGCTATTTAAACTTATTATTATTTTTTTTTTTTTTATTAATCTTCTGAGACTAAATTTCTAACTCTATCTCCTCCTAGAGCTTTTGAGCTATTACCACCAAACTTGCTCCAGACCTCCAAACTATTCTGACTCGTGTTGCTATGTCTCCTCAGACTGATCCGACTTTCGGTTTTCCGAAAAACGTCCCGGGACTGTCGGAAAAATCCCATAGGCTTAACATTGGATCAAACTTTGTGAGCTCATAACTCTGCGTCAGACTGTCACACAGACTTCTAACTGGGCTCATTCAACTCAGACTATCAAACTGCCAATGACTGATCACCTTTAAACTTTCTAGCCACGCCCTAGCAACCACTTTTGGACCCTAGTAACTGTCCCATAGACTTCTATGCAAAAGACTCTCATTGACTTAACATGGGATCAAACTTTATGAGCTCATAACTCTGCATCAGACTGTCCTACAAACTAATGGCTGAGCTCATTTAACTCCGACTACCAAACTGCCAATAACTGATGAGCTTTTAACTTTCTAGCCACTCCCCTAACTACCACATACTGCACCCTAGCAACTGTCCCGTAGACTTCCATTCAAAAGACTCTCATTGACTTAACATGGGATCAAACTTTGTGAGCTCATAACTCTACATCAGACTGTCATACAGACTAATGGCTGAGCTCATTTAACTCAG